TGACAGTGGTGTGCAAGCACAATCAACAATATAAATCTTGATTTCAAGCTTTCGTGACTGCAGGAAGTCATACTCTTTGGGTCTTTAGGTCAAGTCACGTAGATAGAAAATCATTATTTTCTAATTATTTTCTATCTCCGTGACTTGACAAAACAAACTCAACAGATTCATCAATAAGAATGTCTTTAGAAGAAAAATATTATCGAATATGTATAGCAATGACGCTTTGGGAAATAGCCCTTAGTCATAGCACATATAGACCTTATCTGATGGCTATTTCTCTGCTTTCATATAGCTGGGGTGGGGACTTTTAAAATTAGCATTGCTGCAATGGTGTTTCTGCACAAAGATAAAATGAGGGTAAGTTTTTACGGATATGGTGCCTGTTACATTATTTTTGTTGGAGTACAGTAAATCGTGTTTAAGCTGTTTAAAATAATTATGTCATTGCAGAGCTTTCTGTAACTCGTGGCTTATAGTCTGCCTTGGTTTAAATAGCTGTACAGGGCTCTGCATGGGAGATTAGGTACCTAGCCAGGGAGGACTTGTGAGTTGAGCGCTGCTGTCATGGTCAGATTCAGTGATCTATATTGGCCCGAGCAGAATGCTTCAACAAGGTCCAAATTAGCCACAGTGTCCCAGGGCTGGAAACAGTTTGGACACATGCCACCGGCTATAATGAAATGGGTGATTACTGTTCTTATTGACGGACTGACACGGGATTTGCTGATGTTTGAGGTTCAAGTGTCAAGTGTTAAATCGTACCTGCGATGGACCGAGCGGTTGAACCTTTTGAGAAAAATAAACTGTTGAACAGAATCTAATGACCAGAGTAGGTGTTCATTGGATGGACATACACAAGCGCTAAAAATTAAATTAATTTGAGGCTCGACAAAGTACAGTAGTCGGGTGTTTTTTGTGCAAAACATTCCACATGATTGGCACTTGAGCCATCTGTTTGCAAATGTGCTCCTCCCAGTCGTTGCACTATTTGTAAAAGAAACACTGCAGAGAATATTAATGTAAAATAAATTCCAGACACTTAAAATACACCAATGAATGAAGGCCCTCCCCATATCAAGTCAGTCACGGTTTTTTTTGTTTTACCATAGTTCACCATGCTTGCCAATGCGGGTTGGTGGGGGAGACTGTTATGGTATCACTTGCCACTGATGCCAGTCGTGTCTGGGAATTGAAATGGGTTCATAATGCTGCGCAGCGTGTTAATCACTCTACTTCACTTGACAACATCAATAGTAGTAAAATGGTAAACAATGTAATCGTTTTTTTTATGATATACCACACAGTGCTTGTATTGGAAATTATTTTTATATACTGGCCTATGAATTGTGGAGATGCTGTTTTACATTTTACCGCAACATTGCATAATATAGTTCTTTATCAAATCGCCAAATAAGTTGCCATCTTATGTCAAACAGTTGTGTAACACCCAAACCATGAACAGCTAAAATAACTTGTCTTTAGTATACCAATTAAGTTATGTGGGGTAAGTATCATCAGTTATCATGAGATGTCCTGTGCTCCGCACAAAATTACATTTGAAGATTAATTTCCAGAACGATATACAGTTCCGTAATAATAATTTCAGTAATCCTCTCAAATGGAGAATAAAATATTCAACTGTACTCATTGCTATTTATCTGTGTATACATTGTGTGCACATTGCATGTCGTGTTTAGTCTATTTTTTTTTACTAACCAGGTGAGAACTCAAAAGAGACCAGAATTGTGTAATTTGCATGAGTGATCAGGGGCATTAGTCTGCCAGTCGGATTGCAATGATTGCTGTGGTACAGTAATTCCTCGTTTTACGTGGTAGTTGCGTTCCTAAAAGGTGTCGCGTTTAAGAGAAAACGCTTTGGGCACGGAATTACTGTAGCGAAGCACATTTGGACTAAAATAAGCCTGTAGTCATCCCGTGGCAGGACACTGAATTATGCCGCGTTACTGTATCATTCCGCGTACTGTATCATTCCGCGTACTGTATCATTCCGTGTACTGTATCATTCCGCGTACTGTATCATTCCGTGTACTGTATCATTCCACGTACTGTATCATTCCGCGTACTGTATCATACCGCTTAGCCGCCCAGCAGCACAAGAAAGTAGTTTGGCGTCGACCGCTCAGAACCCCGCAGTGATATCGGGTGCTTTCCACATCGTGTGAAATGTGTTCGCTCATAGAAGAACCATGATATATAGTGAAAATGTGTTGTGTGAACACGTGCTATGCAAAGTCTTACCATATAATTTCAACAGTAATTTGCGGTGTCATTTTCAAATTTGCTAAGATTTGGATCTTGACGATAGCACAAAAATAGCCTTCTCTTAATAACATTAGTGGGTGAACTTGATTAGGTGCTTTCATGACTGCAGGAATTACTCTTTGGTTTTTTCGGTAAAGTCACGTAGAAAAAAATATATAATAGCATACTATATAGTATGCTGTTATATAATATATGTTTTATTTCTACGTGACTTTACCGAAAAAAAACAAAGAGTAACATTAGTGGATCTTTACCGTCCAGAGTGAAGCAAACGGCGCGCGGTATTACTATCGTCATTACACCCGCAGTAATAATTCGGGTGGCCGCTGGATTAGAACAATGAGCCTCTGCAACAAGTAGTGGATGCCGCTACTCCTAGGTCATGTGACCACCCCATGTCTATTGTTAAAGTCTACTGTGAGCAAAGGATCGCATGGTGGAGTGTGTATGGCAGTGGAAGCTGGAACGGTTTGATGACACGATGCTTTCTTCCACACAGTGCAATCTCCCTTGTAAACAATTCTGCCACTGGTTTTGATTTTGTTCATGGGTGTCATTTAAAATCCTTCAAATCAGTTTTATCTCCCCTCTGTGAATCGAATAATGATCGTGGTATCATTTCACAAGGTATTTAATTTTCTGTTTAAATATTTAGTACAATAAGTCTGCTGATTATGTTATAACAATTCGTGCAGCGTCTTCGATATCCACAGTTATTTCATAATTTCCAGGAACTTTTCCCTTTTTGCTGACGAGGAGCGGCAGTGTTTACTTGTTCAAGTGTGACCTCTGGAACCTCATGGATGAGGCAATAAATGCAAGTTGGACATCATATTTTGGGGTGGTAGCTTATGCCTGTCATCCACCACTGTGGAGGCGAGGGTTAGTGGATCACACATGTTGTTCAACTCCCTTGCCGTGAGTATCGAGGTGCTATATACCTTCGTTTTCCCAGGAGAATGTCGTACAGCAAGAATGTGGATTCCCCCTTGTCCGCCTATGTGGGATCGTGTTTCCCTCGCACATGTGGGCATGTGTGTTTTTCTCGAGGTGCTCTGGTTTCCTCCCATATGTATAAAGTCTCATTCATTGGCCGATAACACCTTCATATATAGAGGACCGCAGAGTTTGGGCGATTGTTGGCGCTGGCTCGCCACATGGCTGTCTTCTTGCTTGTCTGTGGTTCCTCACGCCGTCAAGTCATTCTCTCTTCGAGAGTGAGCAGATACTGTGTGGGTTACAAGTTAAAAGTGTTACCGTATTGACCGGTAAGTTAAGTCGACTGACAGCTGATGGACTGAGACTAACAACGGAGTGGCAGCCAAAGGAGTAACCCAAGAGGATGACTGCCACTAGAGATGGAGCGATGAGATCGGCTCCGATGCAGAAGTGAGATGGATTGTGACATACACTAGACTGTTGGGATGGTGACATGGGGAGGCCTTCATCCAACCATGGATTCGTCATGGTCGGTGATGATGATGACCTAATATAAACACAGCACTTACAATATTGCATTTAGTAGGACACTGTCCTTCTCATGGTACCCAACCGTAATGAAAGGTTTACCGTTAATCTGTAATAGGTGCGATACCAGCCCAAACACCCAGTTATCTCAACCAATGGTTCTGCCTGTAAGTGTTGATGTTTTGATCGTGTTTGAATGCATTGTAGAGCAACACTTATATATCATTATGCTGTTTTTGCTCCACTGTATTCACATGTGCTGCAGTGTGCCGTTTGTAGAACAGGCGCGCGAGTCTGATGCACGGCATGTTGTGTTAGCTTGGTATTCATTTCCTTCCTGTTCGGACGGGTACGTTCACTGTACAGCACATTACGGAACAGTCAGCTGGGGTTATAAAGTGTTTTTGCGTTGTTGTTATTGTAATTTTTTTAGTACAGCATTGACTCATTCAATTGTGCATTCATTCAGTATTTTACAGTGCATGCTGCGATGTTAAGCATATAACCCGAGGGTTCTTCAGCAATTTTACATGGGCATTCATGCAAAGTGTGATACTGTCACTCTCTTTGTGTGTCACAAGAGGAAATCGTATATATAATACCTACAATCCATGCAATGTGTTCACATACGGTTGATATATTTTTAACTGATGTACTGTATTTGAAAAAAAATCAACATTATACATGGGTAATCCATAGATTCTCTATTATTTTTCAGGCGCAGGTGTAGTACATACAGTATATTCTTGCACTCCAATGGCACTATCATGTTTGATGTCAGTGTTTTGTTTCTGTACAAGTTGTCATCCTTTTTAAAACAAGTTGCAACGGCGCTAGTAATGAAGGTTTCTTAAGCCACTTAAAATGAGTACATTTATTTGGGCTCATAGAAATACCCATCATCCTGCCGCAGCATTGTCCGTGTTTTGCAATGCAAAGTGAATTTATATTGCGTCCAAATATGACCGCAACTTAAGATGCTGTGGAGGATCAGCGGGCATGTTTATTTTATGCAAAGAGGCAATTATGAGGCATAGGGGGAAAAAAGCAAGTTCTTGAGCCTGGAGTTGAACAGGGGTGAGGAGGCCACATCACAGATTACTGGGTGAAGAGAGTTTCACGCTGTAGCTGGAGGAACGCAGGAGAAATGCAAAAGCCTTCCTCTGTAAAACTCTGTGTTGAGCCTGTGGTGAAGTCTGTTTTTTTGAGTCTGTGCTCTCTGTGCCCGTGGTATTGCCCTGTGCCAGGTACCTGATGTGTAGTAATCCAGAGGACCTTCGAGAGAAGGCTGGCTGGGAGGGCAAGGGGCCTCTCTCCCGTGCCAAATTACTGGACAAGCTTCACAGTAAGCGCTGCACACACGTGCACACGCGTGACACTATGGGACTCCCCCCCCCCCCCGCATCTTGTACATTATACATTTCTGCAGCACAAGGCCAGCCAGAGGCTGTAGTAGACATTACCTGGTTGAGGATTTTAAATAGTATATATTTTCAAGACTCCAGTATTCCTATCGGAATTGTTGAGTGTTATGCTGCTAAACATTCGTACTTACATTCAAACCTTGTCTATTTAACGAGGAGATTAAATGTCAGAGAAATCTTAAGATCACCACAGCAACCAAATTATCTCCAGGAAGCTGAGCTTTAAAGCTGCATTAATCGACTGTGTGTGCTGACTAGGCTCATCAGCCAATTATATGGGAAATTAAACGTTAACATTTTTGAAGAAATAACACAGGAGATCGGGCCTGCATCTTTTATATGGTGATCTGACTGCAAAACCAAACATCACACAGACATGCACAAAAAAATCTCTCTGCATGATCCAGCTCTTATGCGTGGCTCGCTGCGTGCCCTTCCACGCAGAGGACATCCTGAGGTTTGTATCTCAAAGCAGGTTCTTTGTATGTGTGACTTAGTACCAGGAGAATTGTAAACATGTAAAACGTTAATTATAATTCGAATACACAGTTTGAATTTACACGCCGATGTTGGTATATGAAACATTACATTTGTCAATTGAAAAAGAAAGCGGTGCCCTTTAGATTGTGCTGTTTGGGGTGACTGCTCCTTCATGGTGCAGAGGACTTGCACGTATTAGTTACGGTCTCCAGGGGCATTTAGTGTCAATAACCTTACCCGCAGGAGTTGCTCACGTTCAGTTTTTCCATTCTTCATTTTACACAGTTATCTTTCACCTATGCCAATGAAGTGAAACAAATGCCATTGCAATTTTGTTCCTTAAGTCAACGTTTGAAGTCTAACGAAAACAGCATATGGCGTTTTAGACATGCTGCACAATGAATTCATGTATTCTTATACTGAACAGAATTAGCGTCGCAGATTAACATTTAACTTGGGGGGGGGGGGGTCATGTTTTGTCCAAATATAGCATGACAGCATGTCAAACACATGCTCACCATTGAGGAGGGAGAGTCCCATACTGCCAGGCATTGATTTCAACTTCGTTATTGGTACTGACACAGGGCACCTGGCAACTGCATGGGGCAGTTTTAGGAAGATGTCCGATGAAGCAAAGCAGTGCATTTGGCACCGTTATAAATCACCTTCTCCACTGTGGAATCAGTGAATCTATAGACCAGAGTGTGAGTGTGTGTGACTACCAGTGTGTCTGCGTACATCTGTGGAATGCTAGTGCACATGCTGGGAGCTATGAGGCACACTGCTTACAACACGAGACCTCACTGGAATGTGGAACTGCCAGCTTGTGCGTTCCCACTTAATGAAGTCTCAAGTATATGTAGGCAACTGGAGCCCAAAATGTGTATGGTAACTTAATAGGCGATGTCCGTGTTACGACATGACCGGTCACTGGATGCACAAATGTATTATTATTATTCCCCGCTTTTATAAAGCTGTAAAAAAAAGCCCTCAAAGAAAATGTTGTGGTTTTAATGTGAGCACTGCTTATTAATTTATTACACGGAAATAAGTTATTAAAAAATTCTATTTTTTGCAGATGTTTTTTTCTATCCCATTGCAACATTGTTTCATCCTAAACATGGAAAGCATCCACGGTATTGTGCATTTGTGCACGCCGTTGAACACTAGCGGTGCCGACAATGTTGCACAGTGCATGTACAGCGGTGTGTCATGTGCATGTGTGTCACACGTGGTTAATTGTATGCCCCTTGCTGTATAGTAATGTAGAATGGAGGTAGATACAAATAAGTGATGCAATATAAATCTGGGAGCATTTGAACTTGACTTGGCAATTAACTGAATCTGCATTCATGTTTTGGTATGTGAATTGGCATGGCTATGTTTCACAATACACTGCATCTGTTTCTTATTTAGTGTCGCCCTTCGATTAGTTTCATTAACATATTTAACTCTGATTCGCCACCAAAAGAAATACGAAATGTAAAGCAGTCAAAATGAAAGGCGTAAGACGTGTGCCGCAATAGCTAGCAACACTTTAAATACAAGGGGCTTACATCCAATTAATGGACCATTGGTTGACCATCTTCCTATGAGTTGAACAGCCTTTCATCAGCCACGTGTCCGACCATAAGATAATTACAGGTTTTACGTTTATCATTTAGTAATTTGTTTTAATGTTGAACTCACATTGGCAGAGAAGCACAAAAACACATGGAATACTATAATATTTTCTTTCGGGTTAGTGTCAAACAGCAAGTGTCCACGAAGAGAGACTAATTTTGCAATTATGAAGATTGATACAGTAATTGACATGGGTAATTGGTTGTAATGAGTCTAACTTGATTATTAGATCTGTATCATATCATTACCAAGTCTGAGAGTAAGAGGGCTGTTAATAACTATATGTGTACAAACAATTGCTGCACGTGTAGCTTAAATTTATTATGGCAGTCACAATGTCTGGTTGCATTTTTTTTACGAATCTCCAAAGGTATAAGTTGTATGTGTTTACTGTTATTTATTTCCTGTCGATGCGGTGTTGGTAGAATATAGTGATTTTTTTTCTCTGCTAAAACATGGCCTACTTATGCTTTAATGCCCCAGAAAGGTGCTGTGCACAAGTCCCCATGAGGCGATATGCGATGTGCACAGAGTCGGGGTCCCCATCATAATGAGCATGGCCAGGGGACATCTCTGGAAGCATAGACTTCATCAAACAGAGCTGTGTTTATCTTCGGACTAATTGATGGTTATGCTACAAAACTATCTATGTGCTACTCCAAACTGTAATGGATCTAAATTGTATTCATTACTTTCATTATGCAGAACCAAGCTTTTCTCAGATGTATTTATTCTGAGCTGCACAGCTGATGAGGAATTATGAACTGCTGAGATGGTAGGCACCATATGTGATGCCCTGGTGGTGGCACAGCTATATTTTCAGTATGAATAGCCTATGATAATACCTCAATTAAAAAAAAAAAACATCCTTATTGGTGGTGATCTAATCAACTGAACTTAACAGTTCAAGAGGATTGAAAATGTGTGACCTAATATCTCATATGTTAACATATTTTTGCTGACTTATCGTGCACTTAAAAAAACTATGTAAAAAAATATAAAACAAGGCCCCGCCTTGCTTACGACACAAATTGGTCCAGGTTAATATACAAAAAAGATTTACATCCGTAATTGTTTTTTACACAACCAGGCTTGGGTATTGGTGCTCTACAGTATATGAACAGTTACACTACATCCACTGACGGAGCCTACTTAACCCTGATGCACATCGAGTGATTGCTTCAGTGTTGCCGACAGGTCAGTAAACATCGTGCTCACATCCCAGAGCGATCCATCAACCCCAGTACAAACTTGGCCAGCAAGGTTAGGGGGTGGGGGATCAGGGGGGGGGGGGCACACAACCTCATCCTGCTGAGCAACGCCTCCGGATTAAGTGCCACTAGAACATAGCAACCGCATGCTTAATGTAGGCCGAGCACAGTCATGCAACATTTACGGATACATAAACACATGTATTTTTGAAAATTTATGGAGCGCTTGAGGAATAGCTACAATGACTTGAAACATTTGCACAGTTAATGTAATGTCGGCATTCCAAATGACGAAACTGTCGCATTGTACTGCTTGTAAAAATATCACCAGGTATATGAAAAGTTCCCTCTTATAGAGTTAACCTCCATGTCCTCCATATCTCATACTGGGCGAGAGCATGCAAGAATTGTAATGTGCTCATAAGCACACATTGTAATGCAAAGTAATGTTGAATGAGCACAGCTGACGGCACACCTGGCACAGCTTATGTACAATTACTCAGGAACGTGACACCATTGCCACAACTCTCATCTAACAGTACCATGCTGGTTATCATGGGAAATGCATTTTTAAATCGCTTGACAAATACCTTTGTTTTATTCAATGAGTCACCAAACAATGCCATAATTTTGGAAATTTCTCAAATGTTTGTTCATCTTAACAGCTTGGTTTTTAGAACTATGTGATTTATTTTACTTTTATATCCTTAGTTTTATGTAAGCAATACACATGCTGTATACTTAAAACATAGATACTGGGGCGAATGAGTGATGACGAAATTTCATTTTAAGCAGATTTTTTTCTGAAAATGTGCATTATCAGTAATGAGACGAATTACCAAGGCGATGCTTTTAGGTCATTTCAGCAACATTGGGAACTGGCCCATACAGAAGAAAACTAATAACGCCATCAGATATGTTTGTTGGAACAGAAGCAAGCTGTGCCAAACTGCTAATTCTGGTGCACAATGATATATATGTATGACACCACAGTGTTGAGGGGGTGGGAGGCCTTCACGCATTGGTGGATTTGTGGATGAAGACATATTTTGTTATATAATCATTCTAAAACATTGTAATTCTACACCACCAGACAACTTTATATGAATACTAAACTCAATACGTTCATCATTAGGATTACCTTTAAAATATATAATCGGCGGTGTTTTGGCACTGGCCATTTATAGCACATAAATAGAGATGGAGTGCATACTAGTTTGGAGACTACACTTTACACCATTTTGCCTGATGAAAATGAATGTTTCCTGATGAACAATTTTTAAACTGGCATATGAATAGTTATTAGTAGCCTCTGAGTAACAGAGAAAACCCTTCGATGATCAAAAGCCGCAGCTAACAGCATTGGCAAACGTGTTGGGTTTTTATTATTTTTGCTTGTGTACCACTGCCAACGCATTGTCACCAAATATAGCAAGTATTGTGTATAGTGCAACCTATGGATCCCATTGGTCTGGTATTTACATGAAATCTGCACATCTATGCCCCCCATACCTTAATGCATTTGTCCTATTTGTGTCGCTATTTTCATTTCCTTGAAAATTATTCCTTTTGGTGTTCGGCTGTCGTACGCAATGTGGAACGGCCCGTGAAAGATAATTTTAAGATCTGAATTTCTCTCTGATGCTGTCTTTCAATTTGAGGAAGAGATGAATGCTCAATGTTGTCAAGTCAAAGCATAGGATGCATTGTGATTGCAAGCATGTGTGTTTGACTCCAGCTCAAGCGTTGTCTCAGGACCATCGCAGCAGTGACCTTGAGGGAATACAAATGGACATGTTAATTTGTCTGCAGACCACCACTAATGCTTATTAATGACACAAAAGTGTCCTTAAAACGATGTGATTTTGGTAAAATGCACTTAAGATTAGCTCTCATCAACCATGCAGACATGTCTCCCTGCATGTGCATCGTATCCTCGTCATCATACAAATGTCTTGAGCCCATGATTGACTAAGCTATCTAGGGCTGCTTGGGATACATGGCTGAGTACTGTACAGCAGTTGGTTAGAAATACCAAATGCTAAATATTGACCAGCAGAGGCTTATCGTGTGAGGGACAGCGAGGGTCCTCGCACCAGATCTATTACTAGCAAACTTCGGAGTAGTCTCCTACCCTATGATGTCCCTCAAGACGAATGGACCCAAATCTGGCAGGCTCCTCAATTTGGCCCGAGATCATTAACACTGAGGCTTATCCAGTTTCAATTCATGCACGGTATCTATACGACCAACGAGAGAAGAGCAACATTCAAGGACAGCTTCCCCAGATTGTCCCAGATGTCCTCCGGGCACGGTTGAATCGTACTTCCACGCCTTCTGGCTTTGCCCAGACATAGTTACATTTTACCGGGATGTGGACTTTTTTTTTAATAAGATCTGCAGCACCAATCCCTCCCATTCACTCGAAACCACTCTGTGGGACCTGAAACCTGTCGCTCTGTCGAAACATGAATATGTTTTATTGCAAACCTTCAATATCACGGCCAGGAAGGTCATTTTGACCAATTGGAAAAAATCATGAACCCCCATCGTGGAAGCAGTGGCATAACACCCTCCTTGCCCACGCAGGCATTGAACTCTTAAGCCACAAGCTTAAAGACAGAGAACGGGAGTTCGAAGCCAGATGGTCCCCATTTTTACGGAGCCTAATATGAGTTCCGCAGGGGAGGAGGTCGAGTGGAGGGGATGGGTGTCCTTGGGGAGGTTGTGCCCCTCTTCCGGGAACTGGCGGGTACAGATTATTGTTCAGAGAGTTCACAAGCTCACATCTAGCACGTAAATTATTTTACGTGTGGCGTTTTACTACATGCCTTTCCCTTTTTATCCCCCCCTCATCCCCCCCCCCCCGCTTTCCTATCCCTCTTCTACCCTTTTATGTTATTTATCTTCCCCCTGACAGTCCCCCCCCCCTTATAAACTTTCACTTCTCCGCTTGAGGCTGCCCATCTGGGTGGGGCAGTGAGCACAATCCACCCCTCTTCACTAAGCGCTGCCGTGCCGATCTTGGGCTTTTTCTCGTGGGGATTTTTGCCTCCCCCCACCTGTTTGGTGATTGGTGGTCTGTACCGGGGTAGTCTTTAGTTGATTTTTTTTAAGATCAAAGCTTGCATAGTATTGACACATTACTTTCACATTACATTTATTAGAAAGTTTCCACCATTTAAACAAAATTACTTTGCACGCAATGTTCAATGTGATATCTATTGACATTTCTTACGTTTTTGTGACTCTTTTTCGTTTAATATGGGCTGACATTAACGTACGCATGGGTGAGTGGCTTGCGCACCCAAGTAAAATGGCAATAGCCGTGTACCAAATGCTCGTGATAAACAGTGGTGGCGTCAGCGGTGCTGGTGCGTTGGTTTGCGCGCGTGTGCGTGTGTGTGGTACAGCATACTTGCCTCCTTCGGTGATGCTGCCACCACGCCGCCTGCACACGCTGCTGCACCAGGCTGTGGAGCTGCAGCAGGACCGCTGCCTATATCACAACACGCGGCTAGATCCCAGCCTCGACTCTGTGTCGCTGCTCATCGATCACATGTGCAGCAAGTACGGATGCACGTCCTGATAGAGCCTGCATGGCGCTGCTCAAAGAAAACATTCCACTTATCGCTACCACTAATTATAAACTCTACAATGTATCCTCTTTATAAAATGCAACACATCGTAAGATGTACTCTGTTTTACGTTCAGTTAGGTGTGTGCATGTACTAAATATGAATACGTTAACTTGAAAGCATAAAAGTTATTCCATTTATCTAGGGCACTGAGTGTTAAGACTCCTCAAAACAGGAACCTCCTGAAAAGTTTGGCCCAATTTTTTCTTTTTAATGAGTGGGAAGAAACTTGAGTACTCAGAGAAAACGCAGCATACAATGGGAAAATGTTGAACGAGAACCAATTTTCCATATTGGCTCCTCTTTTATCACCTTGCATTCCAGCGGCTTTGGGAGATTAAAAAATATTTGTGACGCATCAAATTGCTTATCGCCAAAATGCTGGATTACAGGCATGTGTTACCACAGCCGGCTCAACAATGCTCACAAGTCTGACCTTAACTAAAATACTTGCCCAAAAATAAATTGCAAACGAAAGCTGCGCTTGCTATGACATCAGATAACATACACTCTGCACACAATGTGCTCGCTTACCCCGACATGTATGCTTTGCAGGAAGCAGTTTCCATGCAACACACGCCAGGTGCTCACGGAGCACTGCAATGAGGTGTGGTACTGTAAGTTTTCCAATGATGGCACCAAGCTGGCCACCGGCTCCAAGGACTCCACTGTTATTATATGGCAGGTGGACCAGGTGAGAAAAATATGAGTAGATAAATAAAAAAAAAACACGCAGACACAACCGTACATCGGCTGGTCACATTTGTGGGCCCCAGATGTGACCGTAGGCATTCCTACATTATGGTCTGTGTTCGAAATAATTTTTTTTAAGGCGGTGTGTGTGGGGTGGTGTGGTGGTTAATGCACTGCACCATGAACCCGCAACCCTAGTTTGATTCCCGACCATGGCTAACATCAGTGGTGAGATAGCGGAACCAGTCCTGGCCTGTCGCGGAGGTAAACTAATTCCCCTGACCTCCTAAAGGCATGGGGAGGCCTTGATTGAAGTACTTTGACTAAAGGGCTGTAAATGATTTGTTTTGTTTGTGTGTGTGTGTGTAGTTATGCCAGTGCTCGTCTCACATGCCCCTTTGGTCACGTGTGTGGGCCCCTTGGTCACGTGTGTGGGCCCGGCAGGAGAGCTTCCAGCTAAAGCAGGTGCGTACGCTGGAGGGACATGCCTACGGCGCGTCCTACCTGGCGTGGAGCCCCGACGACGTGCACATCATCGTGTGTGGCCCTGACGACTGCTTCGAGCTCTGGCTTTGGAATGCACAGGTAGGGCTGTCCGCTGGGAAAGCTGGCCATGCAGAAGCATCGGGGGCAGCGCTATCAGAACCTTTGTGTTTAGTGTGTTACCCCCCCCCACCCCCCACCCCCGCGCCTCCGATTTAGCACGGTTGGCTACGGACGGTGCGAAAGAAGTTCTACGTACATATGTGCATGGTTCCGTTTTGACACTGTTCAATATACATTCTAGTTTCTTATCACATTTCTATTCATACTTAGTTACTAATCTAAAAATGTGAAATGCTTGAAATTCCACTTATGCGGATGGTCTGTGTAACATTGAGTCTGGGGTACTCCCCATTGCATTGCCTGTGCTTGTGCATGTGTGTCTGGAAGACCGGTGAGCTAAGAGTGAAGATGTCTCAGTCCCATGAAGACAGCTTGACATGCGCTGCCTGGAACCCCGACTGCAAGCGCTTTGTGACAGGAGGGCAGCGGGGACAGTTCTACCAGTGTGTGAGTGTATGCACCTCCAATTAGCACTGTTGGCTACGTACTGTGCAAAAGTTCAACACACGTACATATGCACCCCCCAGTAGGCCTCGGCAAGGTAAAGTAAAAGGTAAAAACAACGAGCCTACCTTTACCATACCTTTTACCTTACCACAATACAATCAAATTTCGATTTAAAGCTTTCGTGACTGCAATGATTCATCTTCTTTGGTTCTTTTGGTAAAGTCACATAGAATGAGAATAAAATAATAAATTGATATTATTGTGTTATTTTATTTTATCAATTTATTATTTTATTCTCATTCTACGTGACTTTACCGAAAGAACCAAAGAAGAACAATACAATCACTCTACCTTTTACCCTTCAGCAGGTAAGGTAAAAGGTTAAAAGCAACGAGCCTACCTTTACCCTAGCTTTTACCCTTACCCCATACAAATTACCCGATTACAGGGTAATTACTGGGGTACTACACATGAAAAAGGTTTATACCAGGTAAATGCTAGGTAGAGTGCTTTATTCATATTGAATACTCTCGATTATTCCAATTTTTGCACGCCTTCTTTTAACTCACTCTCTGTTGTCGTTGTCGTATCCTCAAATCTTGTAACTCAGTTTTAACCCACTTCCCAATGTGGTTTCGACTGCAAACTTGGTATACTTATGCCATACTGATGACAATACTATATTCTATCATTAAAAATAAAATACAAATATTTTTAAACATTATTTTTATGTTATGTTTCGGCTTGGGTCTAATTGTCCACTGTCGACTGACGTTGGCTGTAATTGCCCACAGTCCCTTACGTTATGGCAAGCTTCGGGCCACTTCCTGGAGTCGTGGAGTTCTGCCATTACTCGTAGATTTCATAACAGCGTGTTTTTTTAAAAGTTTTTTTTAATATTAAATGGAGGCCACGGACTGCGCCACGGTGCTTTTAGCGGTAAACAAGGTACCGTATTTACCGGGTAATACTTCGTGCTACCTTTACCCTACTGGGTAATTCTTCCGAGCTACCTTTACCCTACCCTTTACCTTACCCCTTGGCATGTCGACACCTTGACCCTTTTACCTGGTAAAAAAGGTAAATTACCTTACCTTGCCGAGGCCTACCCCCCAGAGACTGTTCCCTCCCTTTGTATTGATAACCAGGACTTAATCTCCCTTTTAAACATAAGCATTCATACTTTGATTGATTGATCGTTGACATTAGACTGTCTTAATGAGCCACTGTTCAAGAGAGTAATAGTAATAGCTGCTAAAGCATGCAATTCTTTTTCAGTGTGGGGCTTCATTGCTGTAATTGTTTGTGCTATGTGGACATAAATTAGAGCTACTGATTAATGCATATATCGTTATTCATAAAATAATTCAATCATATTTACTCCGTTAGTTTATAAATGATGTAGTGCAATCCAGTTTACAAATTAAGGGGCATTAGGTTTTCAGAGTCGTGCTGTGATTTCCAACCACGAGTTAAACTTGTTCAAATCAACCGTGACGCCACACTAATAGATGATCACTGGGACTCATAATTTTCAGCTTTTGCAAATAAAATAATCTATTAAGGTGAAATTAAGTGCTTTGAGATCTCAGCTGTTTGTCATAGGGTGACAGCTAAAGCAGTGACCAGCGATGTGTGATTTGAAGGTTAATTTTCTCCAGTGGAGATTGAGGATTAGAGGGAGAGGATTTCAAAGGGATGCAAAGTGGAGTTTTCACAAGCAAAGCTTCGTGCAGTTCCTTTTTTTAATTGTTTATGCAGTGGCTGCTTTTATCAGTAGAAAGTAGTGTTTGACTGTCGGCACTAATTGTCTGTTAGCATGACCAATAATTCTCATGCCAGATGTAAGAACGTATTATCCTGGCATGTCAGGCATGCTCCCAAAACTTGCTTTTTAAAATTGCCACGGTTGTCCCACAACTGGTCCAAGAGGAAGCACAATTAACTACAAATACCCTTGCTTGACGTGCCTTTTTAAAAAATATAAAATCATTACACGAACGGGGGAGGCCTTGCGGTTAGAACGTGCAACTCGCCGTCATAATGCTGCCAGCTCAAAACCAAGTTGGGGGTCGACTCAGTCCCTCTTCCCGGGGATCAATGAGACTTGCATCTGCCATAGACCTGTGGAATTTCCACCACTTGTCCAGGGGTGTATACAAATTTGCACTCCTGCACGCTGTTGAGTGGGAAAACCAGTGGGTTATTTGTCGTCTCTGTAACCAGTTGAGGGCTGAATAAAACTTACTCTCAGCTAGGATTGGGAAAACCAGAGTTGAAATCAAATTAGGATTCCTGCGTAAAGTGCACAGATGCGAAAAGAAAACATCGTGGTATACCAAGTACTTTTCAAAACCTCAGTCTTTTTAAAGCACCAAAATATTAAATGCTTTATCCAACTGTAAGGCCACGGCTTAAAACATGAGCTCATCATATAATTATATATTTACTTTTGTTTTTGTAGAATACAATGTATGTTAATGATGAAGGTGATAAAGCATTCTGAGCATGTTTCTACACCACTGCCAAACGCAGTTCCTGAAATTTTTATTAGAACATGTATAATGCATATCCCCGCGTGTCGGTGACGTTTCCGTTCCTTTCCCTTGAACGGAGGAGACTAAAGAGTCGGCTGCTTTGTTGTGGCACACGGCAGGACCTGGATGGAAATGTGCTGGACTCGTGGGAGGGCGTCCGTGTACAGTGCCTCTGGTGTCTGGGCGACGGCAAGACCATCCTGGCGTCGGACACGCACCAGCGGATACGCGCGTACAACTTTGAGGAGCTCACCGACCGAAATATGTGGGCGCAGCACGGCCACTTATCTTCCGCTGTCTGTTACTGATCTGTGAACTTATACATACTGGAGTTGGACATCTAATGCATCTATCTAGTGCTTGTTCATGAATTTTGTACGATTGCTTTTGTGCTGATGTTCACATTGTAAAAACGGTCAAGATATTATTGAATTGTATATTCACATCAATATGCACAAGACTAGACAACTGGAAAAGTTTAAACTGTTAACAAGTGTCAGTCATACAGGTGTGTTGCTCATGTTTTTCAGTGTACAAGAAGACCACCCAATAATGTCTTTCACGGTGTCAAAGAATGGGAGACTTGCACTGCTAAATGTAGCAACTCAGGTAAGAACTGCAAAGTGTGAGCTTGTGAAGCGGTACTTGGCAGCGTTATGTAACAGTTGATTCAGAATTTTCTTTGTTCGCTCAGTCGTAAACTGCATTGCGTTGTGACCAGTATATTTAGATACGAAGTGCGAGCCTGCAGGCATATGAAGGCAGAGGGGGTTGGTCGTGCACCCACCGCGTGCGTGTGCAGGGAGTGCACCTTTGGGACCTGCAGGACCGCGTGTTGGTCAGGAAGTACCAGGGAGTGACGCAGGGCTTCTATACCATCCACTCGTGCCTGGGCGGCCACAACGAAGACTTCCTGGCCAGCGGCAGTGAGGGTGAGGGCCGCCGCACATCAGCGTGGCATGCACACAGGAGACACCAGTAAGGTCAGTACAATATGTCGAGCTGTTACTAACCCGCAAAAAGAAGAGCATTTCATTTTGCGGATTAGAAACAGTTTTACATATTAGTTAGTTCATAATTGGTTTTTGTGAGCACCAACTGGACAAATTGTTGGCACCATGCAGTGATCTGGATTACTGTACACAATGAGGAAATACGTGTTTTTATAGTGAATTAATACATTGCAAGGTCATTTTTTTATGTTTTCGTGCATCTTTGTGTCGGGCCTGATTGGTGACTAGTCCAGTAAGCAGCTTTACGAATCCCAAGGTAATGGAATAAATTACATAAACCACACTCGCGTCTCTTGTAAATTTCTCCCATTATGTATTGATGTTATTTGTGTGCTATTTTAATGCTAGACAAAATTGTAATTGAGCTGTTATACCTTTAGTTTAAAGAAAAGAAATATGGTTACAGAAATAGCACAGGTGAGGCAAGACTGCATATGTTTTCACAATAGATACACCATCAGTCATAACTATGAATTATTCCTACAACTTTTCAATAACATGGCTTGCTTTTGTCATCTCAGTCAACCATCTACAGTGCTGCAAACATTACAATGAAACCATTCCACTTGTTTCTCATGCATTTCATTTCTACCTCCTGTAGTGGGTGCGATGGGATTGGCCATCAGCCTTCCATGAGAATTGTTAGCTCCCCCATTAAATGATGTTGCACGTCAGTTATTGATGCACACCTGTGCAGCATCACAAATGTTTGAACTGTATTGGTACAATTCATACCATATTATGAAATTGTTTCTTTCAGGCTCATTACTCAGACGTTGCTATCATTTAAGTTGTGCCGGTCTACCTTTCCAATTCCTATGATCATGATCCAAGACTATTTTAGTGCTTCCAAGAATTATGAGGAGAATATTAGCCAGTAGGTGAAAGGGTTACAAGTTGATATGCAATCAATCACTCTCCAGTGGTGTCTCAAAATGAAGCTGGTCTGTGCACACCACACGCTGCTCCGCACAGTATCTAGCTGCAATAAATCATGCGTCATGCAAGCAGATTTAACGAGTAATAGTCATCCGCACCTACCCCCTCCCGTCTTCATCCAGCACGTGGAGAGAATAGGTCTGTAACTAGGACATTTACATTCGGTTTAAAAGTGTTTTGGGATGGATCTGCAGTTTTTTTTAACGTGCCAAAATTACACCAAATTGTTTTTTTCATCTTCTTGGTTCTTTCGGTAAAGTCACGTAGAATGGAAATAAAATAATACAAATAAAACATAAAATACCCACGACGTTTCGGCCACAACACAAGTAGCATTCCTCAGGTGAAGAAACAGAACTGTCTGGAAGACAGCGCTTCAGTGAACACTGCCAAGCTTGGCAGCGTCTTTTAAGCTGGGTGGGAGGAGCAGAGCGCCTTGACGAATGAGTTTACATATCAACAAGAATTTAGCATTGAAATAGCTGTGTTAATGTGTTGGATTAGCAGGGTGTTAAAGTCAGAAATTATCATGTAACTGGGAGATTAGCATAATGTTAGTGTGAGGGATTAGCATGTAACTATGTCGGAAAAAGTGGCGGTTTCTATTTTCTTTTCAACGTTAGCACCACGGAAAGCGACGAGCTTTGTTCAGATGGACGAGTCCATCTATGTTCGGAACGGAGGAGGGGGGAGAGGGAGAAACAGCCACGATGCATTATATTTTGATTTAAAGCTTTCGTGACTGCAGGGATTCATATTATTTTGTTTCCCTTCTACGTGACTTTACCGAAAGAACCAAGAATATTATGCATTATATATTATATTGATATGCCTCCAACTAAACTTTTTTTCTAAATTACACGACTATACACCGTAATATACACTGCCATAGACAAACCCCACCCGTGAATTATACAATGCGTTACTATCCACTGCGCTATACTTTAGACTATAAAATATTAGACTTGTAATATTACACTATTATTCTACCAACCCTACTGTATACCACACTGCTGTATATTCACTATACAATTACGATACTATATATTGCCTTCTGAATTAAGTTAAACAATTCTCCTATAACCTTTCGTTAGCCTTGAGCACACCAGGTGACATCGGCAGGCTACTGCACATTCGAAACAGCTTCAACCCCCCATGTCATCTGCCAGTCATCACGTCGTGACGTTCTACTGCATTCTCATTGTTTGCCAATCCAGAAACATCAAATACAAGGTTGGATCCATCAATCACCAGGCTCTGACAGGACAGTTGCCTATCTAGTCTGTTTGAACTGTTCATAGTTCCCAATCCCTTTGCAATCGGCCAACAAATCCTTGCTGGTTATTCTGCCAAACAGAACTGTAATGGCCGGCAGAGCATTTCGAGTCGCCTCTCCCTTGGTCTAGAACATTATGCAAGATGACCTTCGATCCATCGCATGTCGCAAACCGTTCAAAAAACATTTTAAAACACTGGACCGAAAGTCACCTGCGTCCAACAAAGGATGGGCTTTATTCGGATGCATGTGTGTAATTTTGCATGACATTGTGACTGCATGGGTATCTATGTCATTGCTTATAAATCAGCTGGCTACAGATTACAAGGTTTGATATTAGCTTCTATGATAAATCGTTATCCATGTGAAGCTTTGTTCTTCAACGCACTTCACAAACATTAACGAACAAAAAGCTTGTTGAAATTGCTTAGTTTAGCGTCCAGTAGCCTATGCAGATTCCCATTCTAAGATACAATGATTTGGTTGTCAATGGTTTATTGCGTTTAATGTTTCCGATGTGTATGCGTAAACATTTCTTCGACATATCTGGACAAAACGCTTCACAATTTTTTTGTTTTATATATATACATATATACCTGCCTGCATTGGTGCGCGTCAACAGACCACAAGGTGTACGTGTGGCATCGCAAGCGGGAGATGCCGATTGCGGTGCTGACGGGGCACACCCGCACAGTGAACTGTGTGAGCTGGAACCCGGCAGTGCCTGGCATGCTGGCCAGCGCCTCCGACGACGGCACGGTGCGCATCTGGGGGCCAGCGCTCGACGCCGACGACATCGAAGGTTCGTCGTTGCGACGTCGAGTTGTTTGCGGGAAGGCGCCGGGGCAGGAGAAAAAAGGGTGGAACCGCAATGATGGTCCTTGGTGAGGCTCTGTTCACCAAGGTTACATGTACGGTAGTTATTTTGTTGGCCGTTTTGGTATCTGTTCTCCGTTTTACAAAACCTGAAAAATTGGTGCATGATGGTGATGTGATACGGTTTGTTCACTGTTACATCTTTTTTTCCCCATTTTATAACGGAGCCGGGCCCAAGGCAATGCCCAGCCACCTTGGCTCTGCTCTGGAGTCGCCATGTTGATTTTCAACTGCAGAAGCAAAGCCGTTGACATTACTTGCAATTAACAAGTGGAGACACATGTACACGATGTGGTGACAATGTCCTGCAATAATTCGCTCTGGGTCTGCTTGGCCTCGAGCCAAATTCATGTGTTGAAGCCAACGTATTTTGGCATGGTTCTGGCATGGTTCCGGCATGGCATGAAAAAAAAATCCAGTGGAAAGATCACCCACATACTGTGATGGGGCCCTGCACTGCTTTGACTGATGTGGTGGTGAAAAAGTGGTATATGATGAAGCCTTGTTGGTTCAACTTGCCAAATGTATCACTGGATGATTGTTGTATTGTTTCATATCTGTTCTCCCTGCACAAACCATGTTTGACTAATGCAATTGGTGTTGTGCACATTTATAGCTTAGTGCTAAAGTCAGACATGGGTGCGTATGTGGCAACGTTGGTTCCAACAAGTTTAATACCTTATAAAAACATGCAATTCTAATCCCATACGTGGGTGAATCCTGGTGGCAGTTTAAACTGACAGTTTAGAAAAGAAAAAGTAATTCGGGCTTTAATTTTAAGACCGTTGGAGCTGGCATGACAAGAGTGATTTATAATAAAGGCTGTGCATTGTTTCCAGATGGGCTGTGCAGCATGGAAAGCTGACATGATGTGGGCAAAGAAGCCATGTGGCAACATCTGCAGCACCCAGCCGGGTCCCTGACACTGAGGCCAAAGCACTCGGTCTTGCTGTCCACCACCAATATCACAACAGCCACCAAGGAGCACTCAGTTGAAGCAAGTGATGTCTTGTTGTTACGAGTTACACATTTCTTCTTGTTGCGTTAACTTAACGGCTTCACATGTGTATATGACTGGCTGAGCAGCAGTCATATTTTGCCCTCATTTTTTAGCATGGTGCGTCTTCTGATACAAAATTCCTTTTGAGACTCGCCAAAGTGCAAGGTCACAACTTGACGCAAACCGTATAAATATAATGGGAGTTTTTGGCTCAAAATGCTGCCATCTTACATAACACAACATGAACATATTCTGGTCCCCAAAAAGCCCAGTCTGTACATAGCCACTACCTGGAAAGTATTCCAGAGGAAAAAAAAATGCCCGAGTTTATTTCAGCTGGTGGATAATGGAATGAAGTTGGTTAACAGTGTGTAGTAGTTGTTTGTAAGACTGGTAATAACTCATTTTCACTGTCTTAGCCCCTGTTTTCTTCTGTGCTGAGTTCTAAAAAGGACACCAGTCATTTAAACCACAACATGGCTTTGGCACTTTGAGCTTTTGTATACTTTTGCGTTTTTCCTCAGAATTTTTATTGCAGTGTTTTAAACTTTTATGGAGGCTTGTACATTATGCTACAATGCTAAAAATGGGGGGTTAATGGGGGTTCATGTTTGGTATGATTAAAAAAAAAATCATTTGTGGAACGGTGGTTTAGACTACTTGTTTAAAAGTGTATGCAATGTTTAAAAAGTTTAATAAATCGCCACTAGAACATTTCCAGTTTTAATTGTATAACCACTTGACCAATTGTACAAAATCACAACATTAAATCAACTGCAGTGTCAAACCAAAAGTATTATGGAAATTTTAAAATGTTTAAAATACAGAAGATGGCACTAGGCAGCCTCAAAACATTCATTCATTTTATGATTACTGCAACAATACCGCCTATTTTCTGTACAGCATTTGTAAACCACAAACTGAGGGGGAGCAACAGCTTCACCATTCACAACCCAGAAGAGGTGCAGCTTGTTGTGATGTCTTGTAACTCAAGCCCCTGCTGCATCTGATTCCCTTGGAATGTTCACACCTCTCCAACTGCAGATGGCAGACTTATTATTGGGTATCTGACGTTCAGATAAACATCCTGAGGTTTTTGAACCACTCTTTGTATTAGTACACTCAATCCTGACCTTGCTGTTGGGTCTCGGGCCACCTGCCTTGGCAGACCAATTGAACATTGCTTGTGGACCAGAAATTGTGGAAACACGGAGTGCGCTTTGGGGAAAAAAGTGGATAGTGTCATTCACCACAAACTTAATTTTTCTTCATCTTGGTCTTGTCATTTTTCCATTTCATTCGCTGACCAATGTAAGGATCATGCTGCAAATTAAAGACAAGTCACATTAGAAAGCAATATCTGGAACAGGGCCAATAGCATTTACATTTTATGAAATAATACAAGTAGCCAGAAACAGATCCAAACTGATATGTCTAGGTCAATTTACAGTGGGCCTGTCAGTCTTTACTGTGTATATTAGCCAAATAAACAACTGCTGTTGAAAGGTTTGTCCACAACAGTTATTTGAAAAGCCACTCGTCTACTTGCATGAAAAACAATACATAGGTGAATACAAACCATAACCCATTTCAATATTAAAAGAAGGATGTGGCACATGCACACATGCTGACACTAATAAAAAAGCATACAAAATCTACTATATCCATACGTTAATGTATAAATGTTCACGGTGCTTGCAGAATATGAACTATACCTGTATAAATAGATGAAAAAGCTGACCAGCTGATAACCCAGCTTCACCATAGCCTCCTTCATGCTGGATTTGAGTTGTCCACGGTTGTGGATTTCTGTTGGGTCATACAGACCCATGTTTCCACTTGGAATGTTGAGATACCTGTGCCATCAGAAGAGAAGCAGGGATATACACAGGTATTTTTCTGAACCTGCATATTTGCTTCACTATGCAGTATCCATTTCGTCTAAAGATGGTCAAGTATTACAAAACAACTCTACGTATGTACATTAAAGTACCTTTTATGTCAACAATGGGATGAACTGCGCGTTTAATTGCATTCCACTTAAAAATCAGTTTGCACATTTTTTTTATGTGGGGGCGCTAGTCATTTCCGTAATGTACTATGTAATTACCAAAAAAAAGTGTTAGACCAGTCCACACTATGAAGTTGACAAGTTTGGTAATACCGAATCAATGTGCCTCAAACAATATCTTTGAGACAAAGACACTAACTAGACTGAAGCAACGATGGTGAACCATTGTGCTAACCTGTAAATGTTCCACATTGCCAAGGGAAGGTTATAGAGGAAGATGAGCCAGTGCATCGTAACCAGCATGAGCACGGTGATGATTGCATGAGCCAGCAAGTCCGGTAGCACCCACTGCAACATAACAACCATTTCAAAAATGATAGATATCAACTTCCAAATGACAACATTACACAAAACTATCGTTTAGACTTGTAACATCTTGATTTAAAGCTTTCCTGACTGCAGGAATTCACACTCTTGGGTCTTTCGGTAAAGTCACGTAAATAAAAAAAACAGATCACGTTTCGATCGCAACACAAGCAATCGTCTTTGCTTGTGATGCAATCGTTGTGATCTATTATTTTTTTATTTACGTGACTTGACCGAAAGACCCAAGAGTATAAGACTTGTAGCATCAGTTTTATATGTGCAGTGATTTTAGGAATAAGCAGTATGGATAAGCACAACGGTTTAACATAACTTTAAGTCAAAATATATAGCTACCAAATACATTTCTTCTGCACAGAGATCATACATGGTGATGTGACCGAAAAAAATGTTTTATATGTGCAGTGATTTTAGGAATAAGCAGTATGGATAAGCACAACGGTTTAACATAACTTTAAGTCAAAATATATAGCTACCAAATACATTTCTTCTGCACAGAGATCATACATGGTGATGTGACCGAAAAAAATGTAAACGGTTAAGGTATGTTCTTGCAAGGACTTGTGGCACATATAAACTCTATACTAACTGAAACATGGTGTGCAGGTCAGTACAGCATAAGCAACTTATGGCCACCTATACTCCCATTCTGGCAAACTGAGGAAAATATAAACTTGGCAACTTATTTTGTAGTGTCTTTGTTTTCAGATAACTTTAGGGTTACTGATATAAAATGTACCTTGTTGAGCCTGGAGCAGCAGGCTGTAGCATTCAGGTAGTCGCATTCTAGGTCGGACAGGGTAATGATCTGCATTGCTGTTAAGTACGCCCACCAGTGCACATTCCCATCACAGTTAAATCCCGCAGCTTACGGAGGCAGCGGTAACATTTGACCCGTTTCCATAGCCACAGTTCATCAGTCGCGAATTGGTTCTAAAATACGTACACGATGTCAGACTTAATTTGTATTTCGCAACGTGTTAAGGTAAATAAACTGAAGACGAACTACTAAATTTCTTAATTATTTGCCCAGTATCCGGTTTAATACATCACTCATTAGCTTTTAAACCCATTCAACGGGACCTTTGATTCAGATTTAAATAATGGAATTATACAACCATATATTCCCCTACAAATAGCACCGATTAAATGCTGACTACATTGTAACACTAAACGGTAACAAAGATAACAATGACCTTCACGCAAAAAGTTTCATTCAGCCCAAAGACTCAGAATTCTGCATTCGGATGTTTGGCCAGTTAAAAGTTTTACGGGCGATTGGCGAGAGTTGCATCTCAAGTACCCGGAAAAAAATCCACCACTAACGCTCAAAGATCGATAGGTTCTGCATTGCCATCTGCCCACATGTTCAGCAAGTCAGCCTTATGGGGGAGACCCCGGGGTCCCGAATAAACGGAAGTCAAAATCGTAATTTATTTTTGGCGACTCAGTTTCACCGCGCACATCAACGCCGCGACCCACCTGGCGCGGATCATTCTGTTGTCATGCCGTCCAAGCGCTGCGAGGACGAATGCGCAGAAGAAACAAAACTTTAAAATTTTCATTTGCTCATCGTGTAGAGCTCGTCGAGAGCAATAGATTGCCGTATCGTTCGCCTTCAACAGACATAAACTGACGTCGCAACGCAGTTTGTGCGAAAGTCGGAAGCTTATGGGACCCCCGGGGTCCCGCCATAAGGTTCAAGTGTTGGCCCTTTCACGATACAGTCGGTGTCTAAAGCGTTGCAACCACCACTGTTTAATAGCCATCAATCTACCTGCCAGTCCACTGGGCCGATTGCTTAAAACACACTATAAACCTATACGTATCGGTTTTACCATTTTTGTAAATACAAATAGGTGTTAAGATGTTAAAACGCCGAACAGAAACGTTTTGCAAGGAATCTTGTCCGCATTAACCACACGTACTTGTGAACTTGATACTGGCAAGAAAATACGCAAACTTTGGGTAACATACACAACGTCAAATGCCCGACCAAGCGCAACATTTCAACTCATGCCACCGGCCACTCGGCTCGCGGAGAAACAACCCCCTAGCTCCGCTCGGCGATCTCGCCGGGCAGTCGGCGAACGCCCAAGTCGGGAGGGCGCCACCAGGAAACAAGCGGGGGCTCGAGTGCGACCAGGCCTCGTTCGCGTTGTGGGTGGGGGGGGGACGGACAATGAGGATACGAAGTAGACGGTGAGAAAGATGAGGAAGCAGCAGATGACGAGCGCGGCGAAGAACAACGCCCCGTCCCACATCGTCCCGGCGGCTCCGCGCAGCACCGCACGACGCGGACGGAAGGCGGCAAATGGAAGCTTCCAACGCGAGCGGCACTTCCGCTTTCACGCGGTCACGTGACCCCCCCTCTCCTTACGAATCGATTGGTAGCCTACAATATAATCGATATAATCGATTCGCTTGTGTTGAGTGGGGGAGCGATTAAATGAATGCTCGCATGCCCCCTCCCATTCCACCGCAACAACCACTAGAGGCCGCTACAGTCACATAGAGCAGTGGTTTTTAATCTTCACTGCAGCCTGCAATCCCTTTAATTGTTAAACATGTGTAATATCATACCTGTGAACCCCTTATCAGAGCCCCATGTTATTACAGACCAATTCAGACATTATTGGTCACCCCGTGCCCTTATAAATCTCAAAGTTCATCCTACAAAGTCCCATCACAAGGGGGAAACACAAACTAATAGACAAAAACAATGTTTTGCCCGCATTGAAAACGGCTGTACGCCGTATGGACCTGAAAACTCAATTTCCCTGCACAAGAATACGGGAAAACCGTATGGGTTGACAGGTTTGTAATCTTAATAAATACACAAGTTTAATTAAACAAAGTAGGTATACTTACGTGACCATGCTTCATTTGTGTTTCGATGATTTACCTTCCAAAAAAATGTGGCCATGTCTCGCATCCCTCATAGAGGGCATCTCGACCCCCTGCAGGGGGTGCGTGCACCCCCGGTTAAGAACCACTGCACTAGAGCGCTAAGAAAACGATCAATTATTGAATACTGTAGGTTTGGTGGTGAAACGGGACAACCTGAGTTGCTAGAACACCAAGGGCCATAGCTTGTTGCACACTATATTCAAACATGGTGAATGATTTCAACATTCCTGCGGAGGAAGCTGGTAGGAACGTTGGGTTGCTCGGTCAATGGCCAGGGTCAACGGCGGCATCACGTGGTGTATTCCGCACAATATGCCCGAGTGTGAGGGCAGGCACCACCCGGCGTGAGTAGGTTAAACGTTGAGTTTTATAAGGGCACCACGGGGTGACCAGCCCCTCCCCTCCAAGCCCCACCCCTCCCACCCCCACCCAGCCCCTCCCCACCCTCCCCTCCCCACCCAGCCCCTCCCCACCCTCCCCTCTCCACCCAGCCCCACCCCTCCCATTTTTGGATGCACGACGGACGGACGGACACAATAATCCCCTGTGGGCTGGTGTAATAACCAGGAGGTTCCTTTCAGTAAAAGAGTTATCTTAGGATACTGTATCATCATGATGCGTCCCTAAACCGCTTCAGCACAAACCATGGCAGTCGCTGCGGGGAACTGATGCACAAATGGAACATTTTCAACTCTCCAGTAGTGTGCGACTGTGGTCATCAAGAACAAACTATACAACATATAACGACGGAATGCCCCGATCCACAAATATGAAGGAAACATCGCAGTGATACAGTCCGCTGCTCCTGACGCGGTTGTCTGGCTTGACCACTTGAATGTGAGATTTTAGTTGTTGATCTGCATCGACATCAGCCATACGGAAGATGTTCATTCGTGAATTATTTAAACTATATTAATGTGCCTGCAGTCTGGAAATGAGGGCAATTAAAAAAACTGAGATACCGGACGCTGCAGTGATTCACTTCTCATTTTTACTTCATCAGTGTCCTAATGTGGTTACATAAATAATTAAAAGTTAAAAGGCACGCGTATCTAAAATTGACTATCAATGACCATGAAACTCATTAGATCTCGTGTCTGTTTACCCAAACAAGTGAACATACATTGCAATCGGACTGAGAAACTGAAATTTATTAGAATAAACTTTAGAACCTCGCGGTGAAATTCAACACATATTAGACAAACACGCGTTTAGAGTATTTGGCTGCTGTGAATGAGCACGTAAGCCACTTCGTTGAGCTATCAGTTGTGGCCAGGTCGCTTCTGAAAACGAGCTGTAACAGCTCAGTGGGCATGATCTGGTAACTCTTTGAGAGCACGTGGTGAGGTAGGGGACCGGCCCCGCCCCCACCCTCGCCCCGCCCCCACCCTCGCCCCGCCCCCACCCTCGCCCCGCCCCACCCTCGCCCCGCCCCTCCACCGCCCCGCCCCCTCCCCCGCCCCGCCCCCTCCCCTCGTGTGGGGGGCTCGTGTCGCCATTTCCGGTAACATGGCGACGTCCAGGGGCAGGAGTAGCCACGTGTGGCTCGGGACAGAGACCGGCATCCTCAAAGGTAGGAGCGGAGCCACCTTCACTCTCCTCGTCTTCCACATCTCAGTCGACTCTCCGTTTACGCATCTTATCTCCGTTAGCTAATCTCCACTCGTCTCCGTCCCATTTTCCCTCTCGCTCGTCTATCCCGGTTTTGCCGATCCTCGTGTTTCCATCTCGTCTCCCGTCTCTCTGTCCCCTCTCCCCGTACAGCTCCGTATGTTTGGGCCCGTGCGCCTCCCGGGACCGCGCCGCCTGCATTGTCCCGCGAGCGGGCGGAGCTGTGTTGGGTTCTGCATGACCAGTCCCGTACGGGTAGTGCAGTGTGTAGTAGGGTAGTGCCTCCCCGAGGCCGACTCGGCCTCACATGAGTACCTCACTGCGGTGTGCAAACTTCGTCACTAGGGAGACAAAGACAGCCGGGTGTGGTGCTAGACACCCACCCCCTCGTGTGCCGTGCCGGCCTTCATAGGTGCTCGCTAACAGCACTTACCCCAACAGTCTGTTAAAGGATTTACGGTGGTGGTCTTTGGGAGGCAGTGTAGGGCAGGAGCGGGCAAGGAAGGGAAGGATAGGGTATGGAGGGCAGAAATGGGAGGGTAAGGATTTCAAGCGAGCACGGTCCAACAAATAATGGCAGGGTTTACTGAAAGGTTAACCAGGACTGGCGGCATTTGGACAGGAAAACTAATTTCTTTACAACGGCTTTTTGTGTTTAGTTGTCCTTCCCCGCACCTCCGATTATCACGGTTGGCTACGTACGGTGCAAAAGAAGTTCAACGTACATACGAAAGAGCAGAAATGTAGAGCAAGGCACGGGGAACGTTAAATACTGCTGTGCAAATGTAACAATCGAAAGCAATTTTTTAAATGTAGATGTCCCACCAATCAGGACCTGGTCACATTCTCTAGTTTTTGTTTTCTATAATACGAGTGGACATAATCAGAGTTTACGACGAGCACACGCTTTCCGTCGTATCTTTAAAATAATTTAACTTAAGTTGTATCTTTAATTTGATAAGTTGTTGTGGTCACATCATTCTATTCGAGCCATTTGCGTCGCCTTCAGATGCTGTGCATTTTCTCCAGGAGTGGATTTGTCGAAGAAATGTGCCACAAATCACACGGATATCAGCACCCTGAGCCGCGACCAGGAGATCTGCTGCCTGTGCTGGGGGGACGATGATGAGCGACAGGTGTGTATCAAGGGTCTCTCCAAACCAGGGATGGGAGAACATTTGTTCGACCGAGGGCCCAAGAGTACTTTCAAATACCACACGTGTACACGCACACCCTGACGTTATCTATTGTTAACGCGGGAAATAATTAGAGTTCGCCCTGCACCGCGCATAATTGGATGGCTGCGTTTACTCCAATCGTAAGATACGCTTTTCGAAGGGTGTATAGATTTTTATCAGTTGTGTACAATTTATACGCAATTATGATCGAACAAAAAAAAGCATTCGATCTGAGCATACACGTCCACGTTTTTCACCACCTAATTTGAGCTCCCAACACGTTTTCGTTAATCACCAGCAGTGGCGCCTGACAACTCGGAGCCCCGGCAGTGGGGATTCCCGGGTCGCTTTTTGCTGCGGCGCCCACATTAAAGGTCCCCTCGCTTCCCGCCAGCCAGGACTTGTGGCCCGGTGGCTTGAATAGGGGCCCACAGCCATCATCACCACCACCATAACCAAAGAGCCCCCCCACGTAGTCGCCTAAACAGACTGTTGGAGAAAGTTCTGTTAGTGAGCACCTATTAAGGCTGGCATGGCACACGAGGGGGTATGTCGCCAACACCACAGCCGGCCGCCTTTTTCTCACCAGTTATGATGTTTACTCACTACACCAGGTACTCATTTGTGGCTAAGTCGATCCCGGGGAGGTCCAGGACTGGTTTGGATATTTACTGTTATTGGTCTCGATCAAGAAGCCCCCTTGGGTCGCTGAGTTTAAAGCTCAGTGCGCTTACCACTATGCTATCAGTCTCAACAATTTATCACCACCACCATCGTAACTTTCATCACAATTTTCACTGCAAAATCATCACAATAATCTTCATCATTAAGTATAGTCAAACAGCCTCCACGACCCGCACGGCATGGGCAGGTCTCTATCCAGCAGTGGATTGGGAAAAATGTGGATTTTTTAAATTATATATTGATTTTCATCACCTGCCATTCAACAAAGCAGGTAATATTGATAGGCTATTTATATATTTATTATACAACACTCAACAGCAGTAACAGGACATTGTACATTACAATGTTTACAATTAGTGTTATTGTGCTTGTCATTTGTGTATTGTGAGCAGTGCGTTCCGTAAGGGAGGTCTGATTTGTGCCCTTTCTGTCTCAGGTGGTGCTTGGCTGCAGGAACGGCACGGTGAAGACGTTCGACTCTGAGAGCGCCACGTTTGTGAGCGAGCGAGACTGCTCTGGTGGAGATGGGCCCTTCAGTGGCATTGCGTTGTGGGACAGGTGCGCCCGCACCTCCGATTAACACAGTTCGCTATGTACAGTGCGAGAAAAGTTCTACATTGCATAAGTAATATATCCCAACTTATGCTCTCGCAACGAGTATGGTTTTCAATAGAGCTGTGCTCTCGTCAATTCTGTAAGTAATATGTTACTGATGGACATCAGTTCGATTACTCATTTTACCTGTGTGCCGCTGGACGGGAGACGATGGGATGGGGCTTTGCGAAGTCATTGACGTAACAGCTGAGTCGCGCAGGGCGTGGTCTGTGGGGGTGGCCGTTATTCTTAAGGGGCCCCGAGAAAGGCAACACAATAATTAGGCGGTTCCCATTTTTTGCCAACTTAATAGGCTAATTGTTCCACATGTAGTTTTAAGGGTATTGTTTGCCTGCGGAAGATGCTACTCTTGTTTTAAAACAACTCTCCAGTTGCAGGTAGTTGTCAAACCTACAGCAGACAACAACAGTGTGCAATTTGCTAAGGAGCAGTGCAAGTACCACAAAGCAATTTTAGCAACATCTTGTGGTGTTCCTACATTTTTATATTCTGAATTTGAATATACCCACTACAGTGCCGACACTTTGAAATAAGTGCTTTCTTTGTAATGGCTGATGAAATGCTGGTTGCTTGTGCTTTCAGTGCCCTGGTCACCTGCAGGCGGTCAGGACTGCTAAAGGTGTGGAAAGAAGACGAATCTGAGAATGTAAGTTTGAAGGCGTCTTTATAAAACAACCCGTTTATTTATATTCTTAGTTTTTTCGGTAAAGTCACGTTGAAGAGAAACAACAAGATCTGAAATCGCTGCAACCCTCAAAAACGCTAAGATGCCAGCTAGCAACCTCAGCAAAGATGAGCGTTTTGAATTATATAAATTAAAAAAGAGGAATGATATTGTAGTTCTCTCAGCTGACAAAGGCAATGCTACTGTTATCATGGATAAAATAGAATACAACAACAAAATTAAAGAATTACTCGACGATGGTAGTTATACAAAAATAAAAAGAGATCCCACCAACAGCCTCGTCACACAAACCAACAAAATAATTTCTGATTCAACCGCATTAATTGATCAATCTAAACAGTTTTCGTTGAAACCTTCTGCTGCCAGGCCACCAAGATTATACGGCTTACCAAAAATACATAAAGTTGATACACCTCTTCGTCCCATAGTCTCTACTATCAGCTCCCCCACCTACAAACTAGCTCGTTTTTTGTCTGAAATCCTGCGTCCTTTCACTGGAAAGACCACCTCTGCGGTACAAAATTCTACTCACCTGGTATCAACAATCAAGGGTATTTCCCTGTCCCCAGACGACCTGCTTGTCAGTTTTGATGTAGTTTCCTTATTCACCAAGGTTCCTGTACCTGACACCATTGCAATCATTGAAGACTTGGTTCATCAAGGACTAAACACTGAGGTACCCCCCCTGGTGAGACACTGTTTAACCAATACATACTTCACTTGGAATGGAACTTTCTACAAACAAACTGAGGGCACCCCAATGGGCTCCCCCCTTTCTCCAGTTATAGCTAACATTTTCATGGAGAAATTTGAGACTGACGCCATCCAGACTGCCACTCTGCGCCCAACCTTATGGAAGAGGTACGTGGATGACACTTTTGTCATCTGGCCACATGGCCGGCCTGCTCTAGACAAATTCTTCGACCACATCAATTCCATACACCCAGCCATCAGATTTACCATGGAAGTCGAAATAGATGGCAAGATACCTTTTTTGGATGTCCTAATTAAAAAGAGACCTGATGGTTCAATGAGCCACTCTGTCTACAGGAAAGCTACCCATACGGATGCTTATCTGAAACCGGATTCCCACCACCATCCATCACAGAAGAATTCTCTCATCAAGACTCTGTATCATAGAGCCCAATGCATATCCGACCAGGAACACATAAGCAGTGAACTCAAGCACGTACACCAAGCTCTTAGGGCTAATGGTTACTCCGACTATACAATCCGCAAAGCTATCACTCAAACCATGAAGAAGAACCCTCTTGAGGAGCCTTTCAAAACCATCACTTTACCCTACATTGCTGGGATCACAAAAAAGATCTCCAAAATCTTGAATAAACACAAGATCCAGGTCCGTTTCAACACATTACATAAAATCCGTGATCTGGTTCCGTCTGTAAAAGATGTGATTCCGGACATACAATACCCTGGTGTCTACAAACTAAGTTGCCTCTGTGGTAGTAGTTACATTGGAGAAACCAAACGCCATATCTCGGACCGCATTCGTGAACATAAAGCAGACCTTAAACACGGTAGGACCAACACCTCGGCCGTAGCAGATCATTGTTCTAATTCAGTAGGCTCACATGCCATTGACTTTTCCAAGACGGAGGTTCTTTGTAAGCCATCTGGCTTCCATGAGAGATTCGTTCATGAGGCTATCCACATATACAAACACAGAGACAATTTCAACCGAGAAGATGGATTCTATCTTAGCAATCATTGGAAAGATTTGATAAATCATTTCAGTTCTTGATTGATTGTTCACGCTTACAGTGCCTTTCAGACAGCATACATAAAAACAAATTTCGTCTCCCCCCTCCTCTTTTCAAAAAATAGATGGACTAGTCCTGGCAAACTGCCATCGTTGCGCGTGACGCAAACGTTATTTTTATATATATAAATAAATATGCCGTTTTCAAAATAAATTTATGCAAACCGACACACCTGATGATGACCGTTTGAGTTATGGTCGAAACGTCGTGAGAATTTTTTATTGTTTTATATATATTTTGTTATTTTGTTGTTTCTCTTCAACGTGACTTTACCGAAAAAACTAAGAATATGAATTACTGCAGTCACGAAAGCTTTAAATCAAAATTTAATCGCCTCTACGGGGAGGGTTTTCACATAACTTTAAGATCTTTCAACAAACTCCGGGATAAGAAAGCTCAGCTGATCGAGTCTCTCACCTTCCTGAAGAGATGCCGCGACTCTGGGGTAATACCAATCGCATTTACACTCACCTCTGCTACTGTAACTTCTTCTAATGCGAAACGAATTCTTTTCAAAACTAGCTTAGCTCTTATCTCAGAAAAAATCAGACTTATACGCACAGAACTAGATCAGTTAGACAAGACACTCTACAAATCACACTTATCATTGACGGCAATAATGTCCACATCGGATTGGGAACATGTAGACAATATGACTGCCTCTTCAGCTGCTACTATGTCGACCAAATGTAAGGAAAACCTGATTTCCAAATTTAACCTCCTCTTAAACAAAAGACCGGACCCACACACCAAAAAGTTAGACGTTAATAAAGTCGTAATTAATCGCAGTAACAGTTCTATTTCCGATGGTCTGAAATCCGTTTTAGCTAAAGGTCTAAACTTTGCAGTCACACCTAAACACATACCAGTTAATGATATAATTGCCCAAGTAGACGTTGCTCTCAGGGGCCTGGGTCACATCGCTGCAGACGTAGCAAGATCTGAAATCGCTGCAACCCTCAAAAACGCTAAGATGCCAGCTAGCAACCTCAGCAAAGATGAGCGTTTTGAATTATATAAATTAAAAAAGAGGAATGATATTGTAGTTCTCTCAGCTGACAAAGGCAATGCTACTGTTATCATGGATAAAATAGAATACAACAACAAAATTAAAGAATTACTCGACGATGGTAGTTATACAAAAATAAAAAGAGATCCCACCAACAGCCTCGTCACACAAACCAACAAAATAATTTCTGATTCAACCGCATTAATTGATCAATCTAAACAGTTTTCGTTGAAACCTTCTGCTGCCAGGCCACCAAGATTATACGGCTTACCAAAAATACATAAAGTTGATACACCTCTTCGTCCCATAGTCTCTACTATCAGCTCCCCCACCTACAAACTAGCTCGTTTTTTGTCTGAAATCCTGCGTCCTTTCACTGGAAAGACCACCTCTGCGGTACAAAATTCTACTCACCTGGTATCAACAATCAAGGGTATTTCCCTGTCCCCAGACGACCTGCTTGTCAGTTTTGATGTAGTTTCCTTATTCACCAAGGTTCCTGTACCTGACACCATTGCAATCATTGAAGACTTGGTTCATCAAGGACTAAACACTGAGGTACCCCCCCTGGTGAGACACTGTTTAACCAATACATACTTCACTTGGAATGGAACTTTCTACAAACAAACTGAGGGCACCCCAATGGGCTCCCCCCTTTCTCCAGTTATAGCTAACATTTTCATGGAGAAATTTGAGACTGACGCCATCCAGACTGCCACTCTGCGCCCAACCTTATGGAAGAGGTACGTGGATGACACTTTTGTCATCTGGCCACATGGCCGGCCTGCTCTAGACAAATTCTTCGACCACATCAATTCCATACACCCAGCCATCAGATTTACCATGGAAGTCGAAATAGATGGCAAGATACCTTTTTTGGATGTCCTAATTAAAAAGAGACCTGATGGTTCAATGAGCCACTCTGTCTACAGGAAAGCTACCCATACGGATGCTTATCTGAAACCGGATTCCCACCACCATCCATCACAGAAGAATTCTCTCATCAAGACTCTGTATCATAGAGCCCAATGCATATCCGACCAGGAACACATAAGCAGTGAACTCAAGCACGTACACCAAGCTCTTAGGGCTAATGGTTACTCCGACTATACAATCCGCAAAGCTATCACTCAAACCATGAAGAAGAACCCTCTTGAGGAGCCTTTCAAAACCATCACTTTACCCTACATTGCTGGGATCACAAAAAAGATCTCCAAAATCTTGAATAAACACAAGATCCAGGTCCGTTTCAACACATTACATAAAATCCGTGATCTGGTTCCGTCTGTAAAAGATGTGATTCCGGACATACAATACCCTGGTGTCTACAAACTAAGTTGCCTCTGTGGTAGTAGTTACATTGGAGAAACCAAACGCCATATCTCGGACCGCATTCGTGAACATAAAGCAGACCTTAAACACGGTAGGACCAACACCTCGGCCGTAGCAGATCATTGTTCTAATTCAGTAGGCTCACATGCCATTGACTTTTCCAAGACGGAGGTTCTTTGTAAGCCATCTGGCTTCCATGAGAGATTCGTTCATGAGGCTATCCACATATACAAACACAGAGACAATTTCAACCGAGAAGATGGATTCTATCTTAGCAATCATTGGAAAGATTTGATAAATCATTTCAGTTCTTGATTGATTGTTCACGCTTACAGTGCCTTTCAGACAGCATACATAAAAACAAATTTCGTCTCCCCCCTCCTCTTTTCAAAAAATAGATGGACTAGTCCTGGCAAACTGCCATCGTTGCGCGTGACGCAAACGTTATTTTTATATATATAAATAAATATGCCGTTTTCAAAATAAATTTATGCAAACCGACACACCTGATGATGACCGTTTGAGTTATGGTCGAAACGTCGTGAGAATTTTTTATTGTTTTATATATATTTTGTTATTTTGTTGTTTCTCTTCAACGTGACTTTACCGAAAAAACTAAGAATATGAATTACTGCAGTCACGAAAGCTTTAAATCAAAATTTAATCGCCTCTACGGGGAGGGTTTTCACATAACTTTAAGATCTTTCAACAAACTCCGGGATAAGAAAGCTCAGCTGATCGAGTCTCTCACCTTCCTGAAGAGATGCCGCGACTCTGGGGTAATACCAATCGCATTTACACTCACCTCTGCTACTGTAACTTCTTCTAATGCGAAACGAATTCTTTTCAAAACTAGCTTAGCTCTTATCTCAGAAAAAATCAGACTTATACGCACAGAACTAGATCAGTTAGACAAGACACTCTACAAATCACACTTATCATTGACGGCAATAATGTCCACATCGGATTGGGAACATGTAGACAATATGACTGCCTCTTCAGCTGCTACTATGTCGACCAAATGTAAGGAAAACCTGATTTCCAAATTTAACCTCCTCTTAAACAAAAGACCGGACCCACACACCAAAAAGTTAGACGTTAATAAAGTCGTAATTAATCGCAGTAACAGTTCTATTTCCGATGGTCTGAAATCCGTTTTAGCTAAAGGTCTAAACTTTGCAGTCACACCTAAACACATACCAGTTAATGATATAATTGCCCAAGTAGACGTTGCTCTCAGGGGCCTGGGTCACATCGCTGCAGACGTAGCAAGATCTGAAATCGCTGCAACCCTCAAAAACGCTAAGATGCCAGCTAGCAACCTCAGCAAAGATGAGCGTTTTGAATTATATAAATTAAAAAAGAGGAATGATATTGTAGTTCTCTCAGCTGACAAAGGCAATGCTACTGTTATCATGGATAAAATAGAATACAACAACAAAATTAAAGAATTACTCGACGATGGTAGTTATACAAAAATAAAAAGAGATCCCACCAACAGCCTCGTCACACAAACCAACAAAATAATTTCTGATTCAACCGCATTAATTGATCAATCTAAACAGTTTTCGTTGAAACCTTCTGCTGCCAGGCCACCAAGATTATACGGCTTACCAAAAATACATAAAGTTGATACACCTCTTCGTCCCATAGTCTCTACTATCAGCTCCCCCACCTACAAACTAGCTCGTTTTTTGTCTGAAATCCTGCGTCCTTTCACTGGAAAGACCACCTCTGCGGTACAAAATTCTACTCACCTGGTATCAACAATCAAGGGTATTTCCCTGTCCCCAGACGACCTGCTTGTCAGTTTTGATGTAGTTTCCTTATTCACCAAGGTTCCTGTACCTGACACCATTGCAATCATTGAAGACTTGGTTCATCAAGGACTAAACACTGAGGTACCCCCCCTGGTGAGACACTGTTTAACCAATACATACTTCACTTGGAATGGAACTTTCTACAAACAAACTGAGGGCACCCCAATGGGCTCCCCCCTTTCTCCAGTTATAGCTAACATTTTCATGGAGAAATTTGAGACTGACGCCATCCAGACTGCCACTCTGCGCCCAACCTTATGGAAGAGGTACGTGGATGACACTTTTGTCATCTGGCCACATGGCCGGCCTGCTCTAGACAAATTCTTCGACCACATCAATTCCATACACCCAGCCATCAGATTTACCATGGAAGTCGAAATAGATGGCAAGATACCTTTTTTGGATGTCCTAATTAAAAAGAGACCTGATGGTTCAATGAGCCACTCTGTCTACAGGAAAGCTACCCATACGGATGCTTATCTGAAACCGGATTCCCACCACCATCCATCACAGAAGAATTCTCTCATCAAGACTCTGTATCATAGAGCCCAATGCATATCCGACCAGGAACACATAAGCAGTGAACTCAAGCACGTACACCAAGCTCTTAGGGCTAATGGTTACTCCGACTATACAATCCGCAAAGCTATCACTCAAACCATGAAGAAGAACCCTCTTGAGGAGCCTTTCAAAACCATCACTTTACCCTACATTGCTGGGATCACAAAAAAGATCTCCAAAATCTTGAATAAACACAAGATCCAGGTCCGTTTCAACACATTACATAAAATCCGTGATCTGGTTCCGTCTGTAAAAGATGTGATTCCGGACATACAATACCCTGGTGTCTACAAACTAAGTTGCCTCTGTGGTAGTAGTTACATTGGAGAAACCAAACGCCATATCTCGGACCGCATTCGTGAACATAAAGCAGACCTTAAACACGGTAGGACCAACACCTCGGCCGTAGCAGATCATTGTTCTAATTCAGTAGGCTCACATGCCATTGACTTTTCCAAGACGGAGGTTCTTTGTAAGCCATCTGGCTTCCATGAGAGATTCGTTCATGAGGCTATCCACATATACAAACACAGAGACAATTTCAACCGAGAAGATGGATTCTATCTTAGCAATCATTGGAAAGATTTGATAAATCATTTCAGTTCTTGATTGATTGTTCACGCTTACAGTGCCTTTCAGACAGCATACATAAAAACAAATTTCGTCTCCCCCCTCCTCTTTTCAAAAAATAGATGGACTAGTCCTGGCAAACTGCCATCGTTGCGCGTGACGCAAACGTTATTTTTATATATATAAATAAATATGCCGTTTTCAAAATAAATTTATGCAAACCGACACACCTGATGATGACCGTTTGAGTTATGGTCGAAACGTCGTGAGAATTTTTTATTGTTTTATATATATTTTGTTATTTTGTTGTTTCTCTTCAACGTGACTTTACCGAAAAAACTAAGAATATGAATTACTGCAGTCACGAAAGCTTTAAATCAAAACCCGTTTATTATTGAGCTGGCATTAATGTATGGTTACATATACATTAGCCTATCTAAAGCATATGTGTGCTTAAGTGAGCTCTCATAATTAAGTTGTGCGTGCGGTTGCGAGCAGGTAGAAGTGAACGTTGGTGCGGAAGTGTGGCGCATGCGTGCGAGGGCAGACAAGCGGCACGTGGTGGCCACGGGAGGCAGGGAGAACGACCTGAAGATCTGGGACCTCCAGCGGCCCGAGGAGCCCATCTTCCGGGCCAAGAACGTACGAACGCGCTGCCTCCTGTGCATGTCTACACGTTTTACAGCGCTCGCAATAACACATTGGTATCCATGTCGAATTTACATGTTTGTCCCAGTTACCGCTGCTGGATGAAGATTTTCCCAAACCGCGGCCATATATTTTGACTGGAGGAATCCGATGAGCTATGAATCTCCCTTTCACAGATGTCCTGTTGGGGCGGGTCAGCAATTTACCACGACAAATAATACAAACAACGATAGGAGTGCAAAATATAAAAAGATTCGACTCCGGCCACCACTATCTCTCATTCCTGCTGTGTAACCGTTAACTAGCACCTGCACACGAGCTGAATTAATCACTCCCTCTCGGTAGATGTACTTTCAGGCGTGTTCCTTCCTTTGTCTGCCACTCACTAATCTTGATCACCAGCAATCCTCTTTTATTCCGATATGTCCAGCCCAAGGCTACTTACGACACAATATGTTGCCTCCTTAAGTAAACAAGTTATTTGTTAAACTTTCCTTTTGTTGCTCAGTGCAATTTCAAATATGTGCCTCTTTCCTGTTTTGTACAATTTTTTTTTATTTAGTTGGTCAATGTCTGTAATATACACTGGTCATATGGCGAGCAAATTGAGCAATGACAAAGTAATTCAGCATAACGTTTAAGTCGGACTTGTCAATATTCTTTGTAATTGCTGGTACTCTCTGCGTGTGTTATGACTGCAGGTAAGGAATGATTGGTTGGACCTGCGGGTGGCTGTATGGATCCGGGACCTGCAATTCATGCCTGGCACAGAAAAACTGGTGACCTGCACTGCGCACCATCAGGTGGGCCTGCCTCTCATCCCTCATACTGCACATTTCCATCTTATTGTCATTGTTAAGCTGCTGTAGTCTTTACGATGAGCTATTCAAGAATAATACACAACTCCGCTTCTCTGCAGTGATGTGGGGGATTAATAACATCGATCCTGTTCACCATTAATTTACTCCACTTCTCTGCGGCAACACACAACGTATAATCGTGTATAATAGGTAGAATATGGCTGTGGATAAAAGGGGTATTTCCGGACCCTACAGCTTCTATGGCTAATAGTAGTCGTAGATAAGAGTTCGGTATTGTAATGTAAACGTTTATTGATGCCCTATACCAAAACTCGTATCGCATTTTTCTGCCATCCTGTGCATGTGTGCATGTGCCTGGGAGGGACAGGTGCGCATCTACGATCCCAGTTGTCCGCAAAGGAGACCCGTCTTTGAGACAACCTTCGATGAGTACCCACTGACTGCAGTCTCGATCATGTCCAGTCAAAAGTATGTACATCAATGAAACCACTAACCGCATGAAGCTAATTTTATTTTAACGTGTCGAAATTGAAAAAAAGTGCCGTCAGATTGCATGACAATGGCACTGGCAACATGAATCACTGGCTGTGCTGCTTAGGCTTACGTTTCTGTGGAAAGAATATGCTTATCAAGAGTTGTTGGTTTAAAGGATTTTTTTTTTATTTACACTGTCAATTGTGTGCGATCAAAAGCCTGTTAAACATTTGAAAATGGTGCTTTGCCACCAGTCCTTCCAGTGAATTCAATTCAAGTCATCTCTTAATATTTTTGTTATTTATTGTATTTTGTACAATAGCTTTTTGCCTCTACGCATACAAAGAAAACATGTTTCTACATGACGCACTCGTCGCTTGTTGTGTGAACCTTGTTTTGGTCGTCTTTGCAGCCAAGTAGTGATCGGGAACACACATGGCAGCATGGCCATCATTGACCTTCGCAAGAGTAAAGGTAATTCAAAACAAAACCCAATGGATGTACAACCATGCTGCAAGAAAACTTGCAAACATGAGTTCAGTTTAACTGTAAGCCGTTTTTTTTAAATGTATAAACACCTTGACATATTTTTTTCCGTATTGGCTTCTTTAGCTAGTATATATTTACATCTATAGACTTTAAAACTGTGAATAGATTTTCAACACCACTTCACGAACTGATGAGTCATAATCACAACATGGACGTCCCCCCACTAAAGGCGTGTGGGTGTGCCTGCGTGCATGTGCAGGATCCGTGTCAGGTGCCCTGAAGGGTCAGGCGGGCAGTGTGACCTGCATTCAGTGCCACCCCTCCCTCCCGCTCGTCGCCTCTTGCGGATTGGACCGATACCTGCGGATTCACAACCTGGACACACGGAAGATGTACCAAAAGGCAAGCTCTTGCGCATTGCTGTACATGTGGGCGCCCTTGTGCGGCAAGCAATGTTGTACCAAGTGGATTATAAGTGTCCGCCCAGTCTTCCTGACAATTAACATACGTTTATATTTTTCAGGTGTACCTCAAGTCAAGACTGAACTGTCTTCTTTTCACAAGCAAAGATTATTTGGAGGTGAGGGGATGCTTCACCTTGTGTTGCTGTTACAGGATCGTATGGAATGACTGTTCATGTTGATAAATGTAGGTTACAATAATGTCAAAGGATTTCATGAAATATGTAAAGGTCAGTGTAAATTTCAAGTTAGAGATTTTGGATATGGCCTGCTGTGCGCAGAATATTATTTGAAGGGCACTGATCTTTTCCTTTCATGCCTCACCATTGCCCTCCCCCCCATACAGCAGGAGGCCGAGGAAGAGCAGACGGCCTTGCCCAAAGAAGATGCTACAAATGAAGATGATCTGTGGGCCACCATGGAAGAGATTGTGGAATGCAAGGCTTCCAAGAAGACAAACACCAAGAGCACCACCGTGTTAACCAAGAAACACAAACTGTCCGTCAAAAAAGCCATGCCAACTGTGAGCAAGAAAAACAGGGCAGCAAACTGAACCGGTGATCGTGTTAACGGCCTCTCATCTCACTTAATGCAGGAAAATATTTTCTCATTTTTATTATTCATCTGCTCCAACCTACAAGATAAAAAAATGTCCACCACACATTACCGGCCGCTATGTTATGTTTCACATGTGCATAGTTTAAAATATATAGATGCAGTTTGGTTTCATTGTCACTGTGTATGGCGATTCTGTAATGTGCAGAAAGGTACATCACCACCTGCAGAAGATGGAGCCTCCATTGCTGGTGGCACACATCAGTGTCGGCAGTGTTCGTGTCTGGTTTATGATGTATTCAAGGGAACCGGGGCCCACTTATAACTTCTGCAGACCGCTAATAAGCTTTGAGTATACATTTACGATATATTCGCAGCAGTCTTGTGTGAATGACTTAATCCTTGAGTCTAAGATTACGTGAATTCTGCTTAAGCCAGATTACAGCTGGCAATGCGTGACACACACCACGAAGTCAGGAGGTTAACAGAACAGACAACAAGGCTCATTCCCCGGCTGCTGTGCAGCCGAGCAGGCGTGCTGTACTTTTCCGTTTGTCATCGTCTTGAGGTGAGATGAGCGAGTGCTCGTCCTCGGGCTGTAGGGCCGTCGTAGATAATGCGTGGTAGGTGGCAGCAAGGCAGGCGAGGCTGGCAACGATCCATGCGGCCACCAGCGTGCGGTAGCCTGCCACGTATTCTCGGCCGGGCTCCGAACCTAGGCCATGCAAATAACTGTAATTGGAATGAATTTGGCCCCTCCTTGTCGGCGAAGAGAAAAACTCGTAACGCGCACAGTGTTTGCTCATGCTCGACAGAATGACTTGGGCGCAAGGAACCACAAGTGAGGGCTGCCAGGCGGTGAGCCAGGCCCAACATTCACACTCGATATGCACTTCGACTGCGTGTGCATACCACACACAGGTTGCACGGAGAGTAAAGTAGTCTTAAATTTATGCCATTGGTGGGGAATCTGACCGTCGACCAATTATAGCTGATTACTTCATATCATACGGTCCATGGCCACATGGGCCCAAAAACATCCAACCCTGCAAGAAGTGAACAAAGTGTCGGTATTTAAACTACCTCTGTACTCCCCCCCCCCAAAGGTCTCTGAAATCAAGTCCCAATTCATCCCTTGGTAATGAAAAGATTCCCCACTCTTTGAGTTTTACTAAATGTTAACAGCAATGCCTTGATTAAGCATTGACATCACCCTCCAATGTTTCTGTAAACTAATAACTCAAGTGATACCAAGGTTGCCAATGCATGTCCTTCGCTCAGATTTACACAATTTTCACTGCAATTGGAGCCAGGATAACGAGCCAATTTAAAGAGTACCGTACGGTAGAACTGTGCTCTTTACCCGTTTTGTCCACACCTGTACCCCCCCCAAACTTCATGGACCGTACATGGCCAATGTTATTAGACGAGCAAAGTGCCACGGTTTGTGATGAGACCGTACCCACGACCAGGTCTCCAAAGCCGATGGTGCTGAGCGTGATGAAGGCGTAGTAGAGGCTCTTGGCATGGCTCCATCCCTCCGTGACAGGCAGCACGGCCACGGGCAGAAGCAAGCAGAGCAGCGTTGCACCCAGCACGCAGCCACCCCGCACCAACAGCTCTGCACGCCGCTACCAGAATCGGAATCTTTATTTATTCTGGAGGAATCTGAGTGAAAAGGCTCCTTCCCCCCCCCCCCCCCCCACATGTCCAGTAGAGGCGGATCAAAGTTACAACGAATAAAACACGAAAGGAGTGAAAGTATAGGAAAGGTAAACAAATCACTTACAAAATATAATTTTTTTCTACTTACCAGGTAAAGCCTGTTGAACTATTCGCTTTTTCAGAAGCAACCTGGCCACAAATTATAGTTCAACGAGTAGCTTATGCGGGGGGGGGGAAATACCTCGCGTACAGCTTTTTGTCAAAATATTTCTGGATAAGTGCCTCCACGTGCCATGACGTGTTGGCTATTTGAACATACTTTAGACTGGTCAGATGTTGGGAGCATGGTATGATACAACAATGGATTGGTTGTATTGCTCTGTTGATGTAGCCCTGCAGCTGCAAAAAGGCATTTTGCTTCAGTTACACGAGCACAAATAGTGCAGCACGGTGAGGTTGCAGTTGATGAATACGGCGGAGCGAGGCGTAAGGCGAGCAGCCTTAGGCTCGGGGTTAATGAGCAGTGTCTCTACCCTGTACACATCTGGTAGCAGCTGCAATATCCTCTGTTGAGGTTAAATTACTGGGGGCGTTCAAGTATTCTCCCAGCCACAACAGAAGCTGCTCCAGTTGCCAGGTGGTGGTGAAATCTCCACACAAGTGCGTGACGTGGTGTGCATATAGCTCGGGGTGCCACCTCTAAGGTACAATAAATAATATTTTAAAAAATTTTAAAACACGCTTTAATGAAATGTACCGTACGAGTAATGGCAGGACTCAAGGAAGTGGCCCTGAAGCTTGCCATAACGTAAGGGACTGGTGATTTACAGCCAACGTCAGTTGAGTGTGGACAATTAGACCCAAGCCGAAAAATATATAAAGATTGCGTAAAAAAATCTATTCTTAATGATAGAATATAGTATTGTCATCAGTATGACATGCGTATACCAAGTTTGCAGTCGATATCACATTGGGAAGTGGGTTAAAATTGAGTTACAAGATTTGAGGATACAACAGACAGAGTTAAATAAAAGCGTGTAAAAACACCTCTGGGTCATATCAATGGAAGCATATCTCGATACTGCGCCATGATGAGAAGATGTTAACTCCCTCGCCTTGTATGCAGGAGGTCGTGGGTTTGATCCTGACGCCTGTATATTTGTAGTTTGCATGTGCTTCCCGTGGAATTTTTTTCCGAGTCCTCCGGTTTTTACTTCCATATTTTGTAAACATGCGTTTAGAGTATTTTTGGCAGCTATAAATTTCCACGTGATAAGCCACTTCGTTGTGCTATTATTTGTGGCCAGGTCGCTTCTGAAAAAGAGCTGTATAGCTCAGTGGGCCTTACCTGGTAAAATAAAATAAATTCTTTAGTTTTACAGAAAGGGGAGTACTACATATTATGCAATGTCTCGAGTTATTCATTGTATTTTATTACGGAACTGACAAAAACTAGACAACTTGTCAATAACACTCCTGGAACGAAATATATAACAGGTGACATTTTGGCCAGCGGTCATTATTCAACATGTCAAACGGCCCTTCGATGAAGGTCCATTGGTCAAAACATCGCCTATATATTTTAGGGTCGCGCTATTGACACGTGCGTTTTTTTGTAATTTGTCGCGCACCACTGCCAATGCTGTATCACAAAAGCTTTTCCAACAACAAAAATGACACTCGCAATGCACCAGGAAGACCATTTCATTTCCCAAAATAGAGGACGATTCTTGAGAAAATCGGTAGGTGGTGGTTAAGCGCGACCCACGTCGTCGATGGTCCACCCACATCACCTGGCGGACGCCTCTCAGTCGCAGCCAGCGGCGGGCGGCGCGGGTCGGTGCGGCGACGGTCGGGGCACCTCGGGACAGCAGCTGCAGGTTGAGCGGGATGCCGAGCAGCGCGTAGAACGCGCACGACGCGCGGCCCCACGTGGAGCCCGGCGCGGTGCTCCCGTAGCCTGCAGCACGGGCACAGCACCGCCCGCAGCAGCGCCTCTCACTCCCGCACCCCGGAAAGAGTGGTGGGTGGGCAGCCTCGGGATTGTTAGCGCGGTCCCGTTGGGAACCAATTATGGAACGTGCAAGCCCAGCTGTCATTTGTGCCCGAGCTATGTTGAGTTTTGGATTTATGGGGGGGGGTTCCGGGTATTGTACAGTCGTTTTAGGCCCCCAATATTTAGATTTTATATTTATGTTTTCAGATTAAAATTGACCAACAATAACACTTTGTTTTTTTTATGCACTCTATTAATCATGTAATTAATCCGAAAATGATTCAGGTCTGAGATTTTATTTCTTCGGCCCGATATCTGGATTTGTTTTATTAATCCCCAAATTGGGAACGTCTTGACTTTATATACACGTTGTTGCTTCGGTAACAGTATAACTTGTCAATTGATGTGCATCATCCATTAGTCAAGGTCTCAGATTTAGCCACGGGTGTCCTTGTGGAAGTGGGTTACACTGATGGTGAAACTACCCGAGGTGCCAGGTTAATCCATAGTCTGCGTTGAGCCGAATCGGTAAACAGTTTTGGCATGTCACGTGGGTCAATTAATGGGAACTCTGCTGTTTCGTCCGGCAAAATCCGTTCGCCCACCTCGCCATTCTCGCCACGGTGATGGCCGTACCGATGGTGGTGACCACAGTGACGGTAAAGAGCAGTGCGCTGCTGAAGTCCCAGTTGGAGGGGCTGCTCGCTTGCCCGGCTGCGACCCGCACGCCATGGGACCTCGCATCCAGCACCTCCTGAGCAGCGATATCATCCATCGCGTGGTGCGCGAGTCTGCTCACTGAATCACCGAGCTGATGCAATGTGCATCCTAAACCACTTGGGCATACTAATCAGGGCTGGGATTAATGTACAAGACCAAACTCTTAATATTGTTCAGTCACAACATTTACCGAGAGCAATGTCTGCTATTTCGTAGCATCGACCACTGGCATTTATTCCAAAAAAATATCTTTAGTTCTCAGAAATGCCCTCAATCCTAGAGGTAGCAATTACGCATTTTAGTCGTGGAATTGGTGCCACATTGAATGATGCAATGAGCAGTGATGCAACACTAAAATCTTGTGTGGAGCTACCCGTGTGTAACGAAGTGCTTACAGCCAAAGTACCTGCAAGAAGAGGTCTAGTGTCCCATCATCCACGCACGAGTGGTTCTGAATAAAGGCTGCCCAGGAGTCCGTCAGCCGTTGCCGGATGTTCTGCTCTGCAGGCAACTCCAGCACCTGGAACACAGCTGCCCCTGCCAGAAGGTAGGCCACGTACGCAGTGGCGAGCAGGGGCAGTGTGTCAACCCTCCAGGGACCAGCCATCGCGTGCTCCGCCCGCGAGAGAATGCAGCATGCGCAACACCACATACATAGCCACCCACACCCACTGCCTTCGGAGCTGAAAGCTATGCTTTTTAAGTAGTATTTTACAGAGTTTTCTAAAAGAGAATAGTTCTACGAGTGGAATTGGTTGGAAAGCATCCTTCTCTAAACCATTAGTGACAAAGCGGACTCTTGCCTTGTGGAGCCGAAGGTGAGGGGACCCCTTTGTCTTGTGACCACTTAGCGGTTCTCATGTGGGTTGTGCATGTGTCAAAACACCCAAAAAAAACACCAGAAGCCTTTGTGTGGTCCGTCATGCTGTATTAAAAACATTTCCATCTGTAATGCAAGTCACATGGCACAAAAATGTGGGCCATTGGGCTTTAGCTGCTAATGCAGTTGTGCCAGTCCGTGAATAATAGTTGCTGAACACAGAATTTCATTGTGCAACTAGGAGGGAAGAAAACACAATCTGCCCAGATTGTGTTTTTCCCTTGAGGGATAAAAATGTTATAATGTATGTCCTGTTATAACATTACACAGTTCTTATAACATTACACAGTAACGAAAATACACAGCACAAGTATGACCTGGACTTTTGTTTTAGTGATACATTTACTGACTCGACCAGTTCACAGCTTTTGTTCTCACTTAAAGACAGTATCTTACAACTATTCAAGGACCTAACGAGTCATGTGCGTGATATACTTTAGTACTATTTTAGGTGATCACAATACATACATTTGGAATGATAATACATTACTGATTTTTAAACCATGTATTTTTTTACGCCATAAATGTCCATACAGTGTAAATGTTGTGGTTGGCAACTAGAAATGATGGCTATATGTGTGGACGTCTCGTGGATAAGGCAGTCTCTCGTGCTGTGCTGAGCTGGTCTGGGTTCATGATGGTGAGCCCACTTGAATCTGGCACTCTCGTCACCTGCGTTCTTGAGCTACAAAACAAACAATACAATATGGCAGATGCTGATAAATACATTTTTCACTTTTAAATAATGTTCATATATAGCCCTGTGTCAATCCACTCCCCTCGCCATTTGATTTATTTGACCATACTTCAATACACTGGTCAGTGTGGGTAGGGTGAAGTTGGATAGGGTAGATGCATGAGCAAAGAAGTACAGCTCAACGTTTGATTCTGCTTCATTGTGTTCTGCCACCCACAAAATAGCCTTACAGCAGCCTATAACACCTGTTTCATGCATGGTGGTCAACCTTGTTTAGCGTCCGAGATCTGACAAGATTTGGAATATTCCGAGAAATTTGGTCTGAGGCAACAACACAAATACTTGTTACTTTGGCTTGACAAAAGGGGTCAATCCAAAGAATAGATTACTTGTGAGTCTACAAAGCCATGGCACGTGCTCACCTTTTCCATGCATGAGCTGTTGGCGTGCCTGCACGAATGCCAGGATGTCTGCGTCGATCTTGCTGTCACCCGTCAGTGGGATGGTGGAACCCGGAGCCTCAATTGACCTGCATGGTGCATAGGACACTCGTAAGCACAACTATGGCATAACTCGTGTAATTGCACGTAATGTGACGGGCTCACAAACATTACATTTAATGAAAAAAAAACACAATTTAAGATTGTATTCAATTATTTAATCGAAAATGTTTCTATGTAAATCACTTTTATCGTAAGAGCTGTTTGAGTTACCTTTTTATGAGGAAGAAAGTAAACGAAATGTTTTAACAAAATTTTTTTTTCAAACCTTAACATTTTTCTTCACCTGTGAGAGTGAATAAATTTTTTTTAAAAAAACACTTGGTTCTCGAGTTCTGTTTGTTGCAAATGTGCAGTTGTAGGAATTATTAATTTATTATAAGTATCGACTTACTGGATACTGTATTGATCTTGATTTTAAGCTTTCGTGACTGCAGGAATCCATACTCTGGTTCTTTCGGTAAAGTCAAGTAGGTAGAAAAACGAATAGATCGCGACATTTCGATCGCAACAACAAGCGTTCGTTGTTGCGATCGAAATGTCGTGATCTATATCTTTTTCTACGTGACTTTACCGAAATAACCAATGAGTACTGTATTGATGTTAATACAAAAAAAATAACTAAACCGGAAGGGCAGGTTGGTGTTCACTCATTTTCACTATAAGTGCGAGCAAAAGTTATCAAGGTTCAAATTAAAATCAATTCTGCTTCTTCATTTAAATTCGATGTCCAAAAATAATAAAAAAAACTATTGTCACACACAAATTAACTGAATAGATTTATTACTATTCTGTAATGGTGTGCAAAACAGGAAGATAAAATACAAACATAGGGGCACACTTGGCTTTTATCAAAAGCGGCACTGGTATATTTTGGGAGATAATTTAGTATTTTTGTAACAAACTAATAATTAGTGACAATTTTAACAAGCCTTTCATTAAAAACTCATATTTTTTTACTTGCATGTAAATCCACGTAGCCTACCCGGCGTTACACACAGCGTACAGAGTGTCAGGCGTTAGGCACATATCACCAAAACTATATGCATAATATATTGTTTCCGAAGCATTTTCTGAAGCTTTCAGTTGATTAACCCCATACCAAAACTAATTTCACAAGAGGTCCTGCTGTCACCTGGCAACAGAGGAGTGCTGAGATGCACTTGGTGCTACGGACAATGTGGAGCTTGCAGAGCTGAACCTGCTACTTGCACTGCTTCTGTAAAACACCCAATACACAGACACAACCATTGCATTTGTTAACAATCAAATTCATTATTCACAACAGCCACCAGTAACTGTTGTGAATAAGTATCCTGGCCCAGAAAAAGAAACCCAATGGTTTTTTTTTCTGAAATCTTCACAATACTAGAATAGCTATCCAAAACACAGGTTTGCATCACATATGGATAAACTTTTGAATGTGGCTTTTCTAGTGCTGGGTACCTGTTGGCAGATTGGTTGTATGGGTGGCCTCCACTGCCACTTGGAATGGCTGCTCCCCTAGCCTGGTTCCCCTGGCTTGACACAGCCTAAAACGCAGCATCACACCACAGACATAATCTGAGATGTGCCACTTTAAGATACGGTGTGGTTGAGGGTCATGTGGCACGTTTGTGGAGGCAAAAATTAGTGGATCGCATAAACATGTGGGACTTCTTAAATCAATAGGCTGCAAGGCACTCAATCAATGTGGGTTTTTTTCTGGGTACTTCGATTTTCTTCCACTTGCAAAGCACTTCTTCAAAAAGACATTGGCCAAATACGGGACAATTCTGAACAAGTTTTGACACACAGGCTTTATTGAATAAATAAGTAATATTAGATTATTAAACCACTACATTAACTGTATGTTTTCTTACAAGATTACCAACATTCTGCATAATGTGATATTTCACCTTTAAGCAACATTTATATTTAGCGGTACTTTTTATGAGTGAATGCATAAGTAAATCTCCCTATGTGCATGTACACTATAATTAAAAGAAGAAAAGCTTGCCAATATCTGTGCCAAGATTGTGATTAAGCAGTATATTTTGAGGTGCGCTATAAAATGTGTAGTGTGCGTTGAGATTTTAGGAATGAACGTAGTGACGTAGCATAGTTAGCATGGGCCCTTGGTGCATAGCCTGGCACCTGGGCTCCACTGGCCCATGGGCCCTGGTGCAGTTGCAACGTCTGCACACTCAACAACCACGCCGCTGATTGAATGGATCGTTTCGTCACTCTTCGTCTCCGGTTGCTTTATAAATGCGATGTTTGGCGCTCACCCTGCGAGCGACCTCCCCTGCCCACCAGTCGTCAAAGTCTCTCTGCAGCTTGAGTTTCGCCTTCTCTAGCAGGTGCTGCAGGTGCTCAATCTCCGTTTTCAGCACCTTCAGGCGAGTGAACGCCTCCTTATAGCTGTGCAGAAATAAGTACACTCTTACAACCCGATCTGAGAGTCACATCAACTTAAGTCATTGGGCTGGTGGGTTCGAGTACCCTGTTATCCCAGACCATTTATGTAGTTCACAAACTGCAAGGGTAATTGTTGACCTTCATATACATGGCTAGTTGCACTCCCAGCAAATACATGAATACATGCTGATTATATGTTCAAAGCAAATGTACAATTTTATACTTTCAATTGTAAATTAAGTTAATTATATGTTGTAATTATTTAAAGTGTAAAGTTTTAACTTTTATTTCAAGAGATTTTCAATAATTAAATGTACCCATCTAAAGCCGAAAAATATGGTTATCTCACATGAATCACAATATGATCGAGATTTGTACAGCATCTAAATGCAACCGCATCTCAAAATCCTGTACAGAAGCAGGAGACATTTATTTTATATCGAGAGCCAGTCAGTCGTATGCACAAAACAGAAGGATAAATTAGCAGCACACAAGGTTTGGAAGGATCTTGTAATACTCGAAAAAGACCCAACCTGCTCTTTTCCCCCTCAATACGTGCTCGCAGGTCTTCCTCCACTGGGTCTGACTCGTCAACCCCAGGCAAACCTTCGCTCACTCCTATGGAAGAATGCGAAGAGCCATTTTCAGTGAAAAAGATGCCCATCTAGACAAGGGAGCACTCTGGATTCTTACAAGCTTAACAAATACGTCGCCTGTGAGCAGAATTGTATTGTGTGAGGCTTCATAATATGAATGCACAGGTATTTTAGGAAATAGGCTAACACTTGTACCTTGAGCTGCCCTCTGCATTCGTCTGTGATCGATGTTAGATTTCAGCAGATCTGTAAAGACATTTTTTAAATCATGTTAAAAATTTAACTGTACTGCAACAAACTGTTTTACCAACATAATACAGATAGAGACCCTTAAAATATTATCATCGATATACAATTGGTGGCATAAGAGGCAAACTTAGGAATGTCATGACATCAATGTCCTCAGTAGTTCATCTGCCACAGCAAAACTATGACTGACTTACTTATCTTTGACCTTGCCTGGTTCACGGTCTCCCCTAACGCCTTGGCTTCTGCATATCTGCGCAATGGACACAGAGAGATACATTTATCACAGATTGAAACACGTTTCCACCAATTATTATTTTACTCTTGTAAGGAGGAAGATTTACCTCTGTTTGAGGATGTACTTGTTGTCTTCTATTGTGATGTTGTCAGCATAGTCTCGCCTAAAAATGTCAAATGCCTCCTTTCGTCCAGT